TGGCTGTGGGCTGAGTAAAGTGAAAGCAGCAAGCAGTAGTGGGGTTCGCGGTTTTTGCAGGGACTCAAGGGTCTTCTGGAAATAAAGGTGGGGGAACTGGGCAGTTCCAAGGCCCTTGGGACTGGCCTTCTGGGTCATCCGCCCACGGCCTGGAAGGCTCCGCCCTCCCCACCTTTCATTCAGAAATGCAACAAAAGTGTGGCCCCAGGGCGTGTGTGCAAAGTTGATGAGTAACTGCACTCAGGCTGCTCTGTAGCGAAGGGAAGTTGTTGGAAGTGCGTGCGTGCCAGCAGGCTTGTGTACTTGCATGCCTGTGTACACCAAGGTGTGTGTGAGTGTGTGTGAGAGGGAGAGGGAAGGGGGAGGGGGAAGGGGAGGCAGTGCTGGGGGCGACTGGAAACAGGAACTTGGCTCCAGCTGACCCGATCCGGAGCCTCTTCCTGAGTTGCAGCTGCCTTTTGGACAGCAGGCCATTGACGCTGTGGGTGGATACAGGTGTAGCCAGAAGCAAAACAGAGATTCGGAGGCTTGACTTCCGCCCTTTCCTTCTTTTCCTTACAGGGTTTGCAATGAAGGTTACGGGGTGGGGGACGCAGAGATATGGGGTCTAGGGAGAGGGGGTATGCAGATGGGTGCCAGAGCACTTATCCAGCCACGTGCAAGGCCCTGGGCTCAATCCCCAGTTCAGAAACAACAACAATAAACCTAAGGGCTGGGGATGACAGTGTTACTGAAAGCTCAGTCTTTGTCCCCAATGCCAATCCAATAACAAGGACAGGGTTTTGAGAAAAAGGAAAAAGGTTTATTGCTCTGCTAGCAAAGGAGAAACTGGGGATTCCTGTTTGCGGAACAGAGGACTTTTAAAAGAGGTGATTCAAAGGCTACATTCCACAAGGTCTGGGTGGGGAGTTCTAACTCACTTGTTAATTTTGGAGATAGTCACTTCTTAGATCTTTTGATGCCATCCGCAAATCTGAATTCCTTCCTTCCTGTGGAGGGTGTGTGGCCAAGGACAGATAATTCTGCCAGGGATGGGGAAGGAAAGTAATCCATCTCTCCCCACCTGATTAGGGAGAGAGGAAGAGAAAGAAACATCCATTTAAAAAGTAAGTTGCAATGGCAGAGCAGCAAGGGCTATGTTCACAGTGTAAAGTAGGCCACTGTTACAATAGGAGAAAACACCACTGACCCTAGAACTAAGAAGAGCAGTGAATTTAGTGTGGAGATAGGCTGGGGTCCACAAGGAAATATTGGTTATCTTTTACCCAAAATATAGCAGTCCAAATCCAGGCTGTGGAGCATGCCTGTAATCCCAGTGATTGGGTGGCTGAGGCAAGAGGACTGCAAGTTCAAGGTCAAACTGAGCAATTTAATGCTCAAAATAAAAGGGCTGGAGATGTAGCTCAGTGATAGAGCACCCCTGAGTTCAATCCCCACTACCCCTAATACATGTACACATCAGCTTGAAATAACAAATGTTGACTGTTCCTTTGAATCAGAACACCAGTTTGGTGTAGCTGAGTGCTGCTCAGCTGGAAGTTGACCGTGAAGTTATACTGATGTGAAGCCAGTTTAAAGATAGGTAGTGTAGTTAGGTAAAACGGGTCTAATATGGAGTAAGGTAAATAAAATGGAGGCCATTATTGAGAATGGAATCCAGGAAACCAGAGCAGCACTAGGGGAAATTGAAATGTTAATGTCCCCAAGGCCCTGAGCCCATCCTAAGGAAATGTTAATGAAGCAGCTCCCAGCAAACAGGGAGGTGCTAATCCAAAAACCGCCCCAGGTCCTTCCGGCCCAGATTACTCACTCCTTCAGCCCATCTGTCCCCCACCTTTTGGGCCTTCCCACCTGCATTCTATCACTGCAAGATAACGGAGAACTAAGGACAGGAGTGTGGGAAAGCTGAAAGAAGACCTTAGCTATAAAAGAGGGACGACCTCCCCCTTCCATGCATTCTGCCTTTTGGGTCCTCTTTTTCCTCGGGGAGAAGTCTTTTCTGCTGACTTTAATAAAGCTTCTACTTTCCACTCTACACTTGGCCTCGGCGTGCTTCTCTGGTGTTATACTTCAGCATTTGGGGAAGAAAGGACTCATCACCGGTAAACAGCGGTAACAGATGCCCACACAGTGGTAGAAGACCCCATTCCAAAGTCCCTCACACAGTTGTTGGTGAGTTTATTTCCTTTCAGGCTGCTGGCTGGAGGCCTCCCTCTGTTCCTTGTCATGAATTCCTCCTCACAGGGCGGTTCACAACATGGCCGCTGACTTTCTGCAGAGCAAGCAAGGGGGAGAGCCCCGAGAAAGAAACCACTGTCTTCAGGTAACTTAACCTTGGAACTGACAGCCCATCACTTCTGCCATGTTCTATTATTCAGAACTGCATCAGTCAACCCAGCTCACTGGAAGGAAGGGGATTACAGAGGGGTACAAAGACCAGAAGGCTAGGATCACCGAGGGCCATCCACACGACTGCCTGTCACAGTAACTACAGAGACCTAGAGTGACAGGAGTTAGCCAGGCAGGAGGGGAGGGAGGAAGTTTGGGAATGGCAGGTGTCATGAACTCCAGCAGCTGTAATTCAGTATGACTGAGCAGAAAGTGGTTCATGTGGGTGATGTGTAGTTGTATGGATGTGTAGGGGAGACCAGCAGGACCCAGGAAGTATAAGCTGTCTGGGGGCTGGGGATATAGCTTAGTTGGTAGAGTGCTTGCCTTGCATGCACAAGACCTGGGTTTGATCCTCAGCACCAGCACTGCCAAAAAAAAAAAAGGAAACCCAGGTTTGTAAAGGCAAACTTTAACCTGGTGGCTAACATGTAGTTTTGTTTTATTTGTTTGTTTTGGTAGTGGGGATTGAACCTAGTGGTGCTCTACCACTGAGCTAGGTCTCCAGCCCTTTTTAATTTTTTATTAAGACAGGGACTTGTGCTGAGGCTGGTTTTGAATTTTCAATCCTCTTGCCTCAGCCTCCTGAGCCTCTGGGATTACAGGCGTGTGCCGCTGCGCCTGGCTTCCCTACCCCTTTTAATTTTTTTTTATTATTTAAAAAAAATGTTATGTTTCAGGGGCTCGGGTTGTGGCTCAGTGGTCGAATGCTTGCCTCATAAGCGTGAGGCACTGGGTTCAATCCTCAGCACCACATAAAAATAAATAAAATAAAGATATTATATCCACCTACAACTAAAAAAAAATATATATGAATAAGCTCGGCACAGTGGCACACACCTGTAATCCCAGCAACTCAGGAGGCTGAGGCAGGAGGATTACGAGTTTAAAGCCAGCCTCAGCAATGGCGAGGCACTAAGCAACTCAGTGAGACCCTGTCTCTAAATAAAATACAAAATAGGACTGGGGAGGTGGCCCATTGATCACGTGCCCCTGAGTTCAATCTCTGGTACCAAATATATATATATATATATATATAATGTTTTAGTTGTAGGTGGACACAATACCTTTATTTTATTTTTATGTGGGCTGAGGATCAAACCCAGTGCCTCACATGTACTAGGGAAGCGCTGTACCACTAAGCCACAACCCCAGGCCAATTTTTTTATTTTGATGTAAGGTCTCGCCAAGTCGCCCAGGCTGGCCTAGAACTAGAACTGGAGAGTCTCTTGCCTCAGTCTCCCTAGTGGCTAGGAATACTGACAGACTTGTGCCATTATGCCAGGTATAAGATTTGGTTTAAGATTATACTGCTGTGGGGAGAATGGTTTGGGGGAGTAAAAGAGAAGAGGGAGGTGAACTGGGGGTTTTGAACTAAGGTAATGACTGGAGAGTCAAAGAACTAGGATCCATTAGATTTTAGGGACCAATTGCCCATCATTGGTCTCCCTCCTCTAGAATATGAATTCAACGAGGGCAGGGACTTTTGGTCAGTAGTCTTTGGTTTCCCTCGTGGCTTTAAATGAATAACTTTTTGTTTCTCTGGGGTTTATTTTTGTGTTTGTTGAGAAAGAATCTTGCTATGTTGCCCAGCTGGTCTTGAACTCCTGGGCTCAAGGGATCCTCCCACCTTAGCTTCCAGAGTGCTGGGACTACACTTGTGCCACCATGCCCAACTGAATGAATGACTGCATTTCTGGCTTGAGTAACTGGGTGGAGCTATTATCTGAGATGAAGTCCAGGGAAGGGACAAGGACTTAATATTTAAAAAATATCTGAGATGCTTGGTGTCGCATCTAAGAGTAAATGTTTAGTAGGTGGCTTAAGAGTGGGGATCACCAGTTCCTCACAGAGGCTGTGAGAGATGGAGACTTGAGGAGCAGAAACACCCAGATGCCAATTGTGGGACTATGTAATATGGCCTGGGAATTTCCCGGAGTTTCCAGGACACTCTGAACAAAAGCTTTGCTTACTTTGAATGATAGTGCAAGAGCCAGATGTGGTGGCATGTATCTGTAATCCCAGTGACTTGGGAGGCTGAGACAGGAGGATCCCAAGTTTCAGGCCAACCTGGCCAACTTGGTAAGACCCTGTCTCAAAATAAAAAATGAAAACAGATTCCAGTTATGTCCCAATCCTAGAGGGACGCAGGGAAAGATGACTTTTTTTTTTTTTTAAAGCTGCCAAGTTTTGAAATAACTTCTAAGAATTGTTGATTTGTGCTGGGTATGGTGGTTTACACCTGTAATCCCAGCCGCTCGGGAGGCTGAGACAGGATGATCTCAAGTTCAGAGCCAGCCTCAGCAGCAGCGAGACGCCAAGTAACTCAGACCCTGTCTAAATAAAATACAAAATAGGGCTAGAGATGTGGCTCAGTGGTTGAGTATCCTGAGTTCAATCTCTGGTACCCACCCCCCCCCCAAAAAAAAAAAATTATTGATTTGTGTTTGGCTTAAGCCTTTGTAGAAGAAATAAAGTGGCAAAAACTAAGACAAACACCTCCTAGATTGCTAATCTGTTAGAAGCTGACAGTTAAATTTAAGACTTCAACAGGAAATTTTAAGCAATCAAGAAAATAAACTTCCCACAAAATTAAATGAAAAACAACTATAAAACATCCTGTATATTTATTATCAAGAAAGTGCTGATGACTATAATTAGGACTATAAATTTAACTGAGAGTAAATGAGAACTAGATTAGTAAATAAAACTGTCTGTAAACATTTGTAAATCAGTTCTTCTGTCGGGCTGGTTTGTGAAAGAGCTCAGTGGGTCAAGAGCAGGAGCTGTTTTTGGCTCAGAGTGGCCATCTTTATTGGTCACCGTGGAGTAGCGCTTCCATCTCACCCCTGCTCTCTTCCCAGAGAGCCCCAGCTTCCTTCTTCCCACTCCTGGGCTCCCCTGCTGTCTCCATTTCTTCACCACTCTTCATCCCTGGCAGTTAACTTTGATCCTCAGAAGTCCCAGTTGGTCATGGTGGTGCATGCCTGTAATCCCAGCAGGAGCATGGCAAGTGCCAGGCCAGCCTGGGCAACTTAGACCCTGTCTCAAAATTTAAAAATAAATAAAACAAAAGGAGAAAACAAAAACAAACAAATAACAACAAAACAGGGGCGGGGACTGGGAATCTAGCTCGGTGGTAGAACACCTCTGGGTTCAGAGAAAATTGTCTCCCCAATTTCCTCCTTTCTTCACAGTCCTTAAAGACAACCCTGAAAGTTCTTTTCTATTTTAGAAGATTTACCAGCATCAGGTAGTAAGATAAACATGGGGCGTCAATAAAGTGACAGGCTTCCCCTGAGCAAGGCTCTGATGCTTTTATCTTTAGGTTAAATCATGCCAAACAATAGATGCTCTTTGGCTTCACCTCACTGGATAGAATGTGTCTACTTTCATTGGTCTCCTGTTCCCACACAGGGTTTCTCTGGACTCCTTAGGGTATTTCTTCAAAATTACTCCAATCTTAATCTAATTAGTCCCTAAAGAAATGCAAAAAAAAAAAAAAAAAAAAAGTTCTCAGGAGGGGAAAAAAAACTAACTAAATAAATAAAGCCTGATAATACCCAGTTTGGCTAGGTTTTCTGGGATGCTGACTCATTTTTGCACTGCTGAAAGTGCTCTGAATTCAGAGCCTTAAATACGTGCATACCCTTCAACCCAGTAATCCCACTTCTAGGAAAATATCCTAAGGAAATAATCAAGAGATGCAGTCAAGGATTTATGAACAAAGGATATTCATTGCAGAGCCATAATTGAGAAAAATTGGAAAAGACTTACATGCCTCCAAAAGACTTACATGCCTCCCAGGTGGGGCTTGGCTCCACAAATCCCCCTGTTCTCTCTGATGGAATGAAGTGCATCCAGTCATGCAGTCATCCGTGTAGCAAGTATTTATTAAGTGCCTACCCTACATTAGGCATTTGGCTGCATAAACAAAACAGGTAAATTCCCAGCGACCCCCGCCCCAGATGCTGTCATTAAAATTCATCATCTCATAAAGCAATTTTAAATTGCTCACCTTATTTTTGGAGTTGGGGGGGGCAGGTGACACCTGAATCACCTTCAACCTTTCACCCCACCCCCATAAGCAGTTACCAAATCCAAAACATTTTTCCTTCCATGGTTCTCCCGCATGACCTCTCTTTTCCTTTCAAAAGCAGACCCTAAGGCTCTGAGGTAACCTGATATCCGCGGGAGGAACACCAACATGGCTGGCTTCAGATTGGTTTCTAGTTCCAGGAAGTTGCTGGACTTTGGGCAAATCACGCCACCTCTGGGACTGTTTCTAATCAGAATAATGAGAGGACTGGCCCAATCTTTCAGGTCCTTTGTGCCTTGTAATTTGGAGCTGTATGGAGGGCCCTATGTAGATGGGGGAATCTTAACCTCCAGAGAAGGGGAGGGGAGACTGAAACCCTTCAGGATCTGGACACAAAAAAGCCAAGGAACTATCTAGGCAGGAGGGTAAAAGTACTAGAAGTCAGAAATATCAGAAAACAGGCCTGTGGATGGTGGGGAGGAGGAAATCCCACAGGCCCATACCAGCCAGGCCAGTTCCCTGCGCTCTGCTCTTCTTCCCCTGAGCAGACCTCAGGCCCATATCCAGCCTTTCTTTGAAGGGGCTAATTTATGTTAAATAATTGCTGGTGTGAGCTGGGGTGGCTCAGAGGCATGGCACTTGTCTAGTATGAATGAAGCCCTGGATTCCATTTCCAGCACCACAAAAAACAAAACAGCAAAACAAAAGTCATCTAGTAATTATTGGGTGTTTACTAAGTACATGGCATTGTGGCGATGATTTACAGTTACCTCAGGTTCACATCACAGAAGTAGGAGGTCTGCTCTGCTGTTCTCGGTTTTCTTTTCTTCTTCTACTTCTTAATTTATTTATCGGTACTGGCACTTTACCACTGAGCTACATCCCCAGATGGTCTTGAACTTGTGAGCTGGTCTTGATTTTGTGATCCTCTGGCCTCAGCCTCCCCAAATTGCTGGGATTACAGGTGTGCACCACCACATTCGACTTGTTTCCATTTTTCTACAGGCAAAACAATGGCTTGGGGAAGGTTACAGAAATTATGGGAGCCAGTGTGTAGTGGCACATGCCTGTAATCCCAGGTGCTTGGGGGATTGAGGCAGGAGGATCACAAGACTGAGGTCAGCCTGGGCAATTTAACTATACCCTGTCTCAAAATTTTAAAAATAACATTAAAAGGGTTGGGAATGAATCTCAGTGGTAGAGTGCTTGCCTAGCATGCACAAAGCCCTGGGTTCAATCTCAGACATGGCTAAATAAGTAAAAGAAGTTATTATGAGAAGTAACGCAGCTTGTCACCATGCCTAGCACTCCTTAGCTTTATAATGGCTGGTTTTCTTTTGTTGGAAGGACAGTGGGACAGTTTCCCATTCGATCTCTGTTTCCTACTGCAGAAGACGGAAATGAAGTTCACTGTGGCAGTAAGGGTTCGTGGATTACCAACTGAGGGATTGACATGAGTAGATCACAAATAAGCATGTAGGTTAGTAAGGGTGCAGATGTTTATAAATGACCCTGGAATTGACTGCAGCATCTGCTTTCGTTTGGAAACCACCCCTTCCTTGCCCTTGTCCCACTTGGAGTGAGGAAACCATGTTCGCTGAGAGTTAAGTGAGGGACCCAAGATGCATCTAAGAGGAATTCTGACCAGCGCTGCCCAGTTTCAACTCTGACCTTGTAGTAAAGATCTGCTCTGAAGCAATATGGAGTCTTTGACAGTAATATTCATTTAACTCAGGAATCTAAAAGAGCAGTTTCGCTGGGCACGATAGTGCATGCCTGAGTCCCAGCGGCTCAGGAGTGTAACAGTGGTCCACATCACCTTTTGAAATATAGCCTTTGCTTCTTATTTTAAAAAAAGACATCGACAACTACAAGAAATATTTTTTAAAAAGGATGTTTTTCTTGGGGCTGGGGTTGTGGCTCAGTGGTTAAACGCTTGCCTAGCATGTGTGAGGCACTGGGTTCAATTCTCAGCACCACATATAAATAAATAAACAAAATAAAGGCCCATCAACAACAAAAAGAACATATATAAAAGGATGTTTTTCTTTTCCTCTTCCCTCTCTCCCCCTCCCTAACCCAGGAGCTGAAAGATTACCTTGAGTTATCTGTCCTCCACAGGAAAGAGACATCACCTGAAGATCTTTGGAAGTGACTATCTCCCAAATTAACAAGTGAATTTCAACACACTATCAGGGCACACCTGGAAGGTAGCCTTTGAATAGCTTCTTTAAAAGCCCTGTTTTCCCTGACTGGCAGAACTACAGCTTCTGGGAGTGGAGTTCCCTGTGTTTCTCCTTTGCTAGCAAAGCGATGAAGCTTCTTTTTCCTTTTTCTCTAAACTGTGTCCTCTTTATTAAATTGGCATGAATTGGCATCAGGGATGAGGACCCGAGGTTTTGGTAACAAAATGTTGAGGCAGGAGGATCACAAGTTCAGAGCCAACTCAGCGATGTATCAAGACCTTAGCTGGGGGCTGGGGATGTGGCTCAAGCGGTAGCGCGCTCGCCTGGCATGCGTGCGGCCTGGGTTTGATCCTCAGCACCACATACAAACAAAGATGTTGTGTCCGCTGAAAACTAAAAAATAAATATTAAAATATTCTCTCTCTCTCTCTCTTTAAAAAAAAAAGGCTCTAGCTGACTTAGCTAGACTCTGTCTCAAAATAAAATATAAAAAGGGTTAGGGATGTGGCTTACTAGTTAAGTGTCCCTGGGTTCAATCCCTGGTACAAAAGGGAAAAAAAAAAGGCAATAAATTAAAAAAAGAAAGAAAATTTCAGAAAAAAAAGAAAAAAGGCAGGTTAGCCCGATGCGGTGGCACACCTGTAGTCCTAGCAACTCCAGTAACTAAAGCAGGAGAATGACTTGAGCTCTGAGTTGGAGACCAACCTGGGCAACATAGTGAGACCCACCCATATCAAAACAACTAACAATGGTGCACACTGTAATCCCAGCTACTGGGGAGGCTAAGGCAGGAGGATTTTAAATTGGAGGACAGCTTCAACAATTTAGGAAGATCCTGTCTCAACATAAAATTGAAAAAGGGTTAGAGATGTAGTTCAGTGGTAAAGCGTCCCTGGGTTCAAGCCCTAGCACTGTAAAACAAAACAAACCAACCCCCCAAACTAACTAAACAAGTAAAGAGGCAGTTTGTGTGTCTGTGTGCATAGGTGGATTTTTTTTAGGAAGGTGTTTAAAACTGCCCAGAGGTTAAGAACTTCTGTGACAAATGGGTGTGATACAGGAGCAACAGTGGCACAATCCTTATGACAGGAGGAAAAAGAATGACTTAATTAACCAGTAGGTGGAAGGAAAGAAGATACTCAGGGGAAACTTCACATGGAGGCAGGATCTGGGGGAGGGGGGGAAAAGGGGTGCTAACATTTCTTGTGCTCTTATTGATTCTATTTATTTATTTATTTACTTATTTGTTTATTCATTTTTGGTACTGAGGATTGAACCCAGGGTCACTTAACCACTGAGCCAAAAATTCCCAGCCCTTTTTATTTTGAAACAGGGTCTCCCAAAGTTGTTCAGGCCTTGCTAAATTGCTGAGGCTGGCTTGGAATTTGTGACCCTCCTGCCTCAGCCTCCCAAGCCACTGGGATTACAGGTGTGTGTCACTGTGCCTGGTTATTGAAAACTAAAATTTATGATGATTTGTTAATTCTTATAACAACAATCCTATGAGGTAAATAAAGTTACTATTCTGGTTTGTGCATTCTTTCATTTAGTAGATATTTATTGAGCAACTGCTATGTATGCCCTATTCTGTATTTTATTTAGAGACAGGGTCTCACTGAGTTGCTTAGCACCTTGCTGTTGCTGAGGCTGGCTTTGAACCTGCGATCCTCCTGCCTTGCTGCTGGGGTTATAGACATGTGCCATTGTACCCGGAGGGACTGTTTTGTTTATGAGAAAGTTAACTATAAATTCAACTCATTTTAATAGATATAGATGAATCTGTTTACCTGTATTTTGGGGGGCGGAGGTGGGGAAAGTATCAGGGATTGAACCCTCCTGCCTCAGCCTCCCAAAGCACTGGGATTACAGGTGTATACCAAGGTGCCCGGCAATTTATCTGTTTTTTTTTTTGTTGTTGTTGTTTTGTGGTGCTGAGGATTGATCCCAGGGCCTTGTGCATGTGAGGCAAGCACTCTACCAACTGATCTATATCCCCATCTCTGCTTATCTGTTTTTTTAAAGATTTTTTCCCCTTTCATTTAGCATTCTGTATGTCAACACTGAGGTAAAAGAAAATGAATGAAAACTGGGCATGGTAGTAAGTAAATGCCTGTAATTCCAGCTCCCAGAGGCTGAAGCAGAAGGATCTTAAGCTTGAAACCATCTTGGGCAACTTAGTGGACCCTTTCTCAAAATAAAATAAAAAGGGCTAGGGATGTGGCTTAGTGGTAGAGCGCTGACCAAGGCCTGGGGCTCAATCACCAGTACAAAGAGGGAAGAGAGAGAAAGAGAGTGACAGAGATATGGATGGATGGATGGATGGATGATTGAAACTTAAATGTGAAAAACTCTTTACAATTTAATCCACAATTTTATGTATTTATCTTACATGTCAGTGAAAAATTGCCAACTATTATGACAATAACAACTTATATGTTGAAAGAATCCAAATATATAAAAAATTTCATAAAAATATAATAAACTATGAAAAGAATTGCTCCCTCAGTATCTTTTCTTTGTTCTTTACTGTGAACTCATATACCAACACATTGTTTTCTTCTTTTTCTTTCTTTTTTTTTTTGATACTGGGGATTGAACTTAGAGGGGCTTTACCACTGAATCACATCTCTAGCCCTTTTTATTATTATTTTTTTAAATTTTGAGACAGGGTCTTGCTAAGTTGCTTAGGGCCTCCGTAAATGGCTAAAGTTGGCCTCAAACTTGTGATCCTCCTGCCTCAGCCGCTCAAGTAACTAGAATTATAGGAGTGCACCACCATGCCCAGCTCATCCTGTACTTCTTATTTATTTATTTAAGTAGGTATAAATGATAGCAGAATGCATTTTTATTTATTTTTTTGTAGTTGTAGATGGACAGCATGTCTTTATTTCATTTGTTTTATTTTTATGTGGTACTAGGGATTGAACCCAGTGCCTCACACATGCTAGGCAAGTACTCTGCCCCTGAGCTACAGCCCCAGCCCAGCAGAATGCATTTTGACTCATTGCAAACAATTGCAGCTCAACTTTTCAGTTCTCTGGTTGTCCACAATGTAGCGTCACACCATATGTGCAGTCATACATGTACCTAGGGTAATGATGTCCATCTCTTTCCACCATCTTTCCTGCCCCATGCTGTACTTATTCTTCAGTCTACTCCAGGGCTATGTTCATATAGCCATGTAGGTAAGCCAGGACCTCTCAATAATCTACTCTAGAATTTATTTATTTATTTTTTTAATGGCAGAGGGAGTTGGATTTAGGACTTTTAATACCCTGCAGAGGTGCTCTATCACTGACCTATATTCCAAGCACTTTTTACTTTGAGAGGGGAATCTCAGTAAGTGGGCCAAGCTGACCTCGAGCTTGTGATCCTTCTGCCTCGGCCTCTCAGGTAGCTGGGATTACAGATGGGCACTACCATGCCCAGCTCAATTTTTTTTTGGTACTGGGATTGAACCCAGGGCCTTGTGTGCATGTGAGCCAAGCACTCTACCAACTAAGCCATATCCCCAGCCCCCTCCCCAGCCCTTTTTGTATTTTTTTTTAGAGATAGGGTCTTATCGAGTTACTTAGGGCCTCACTAAGTTGATGAGACTGGCTTTGAATTTACGATCCTCCTACCTCAGCTTCCTGAGCCTCTAGGATTACAGGTGTGTGCCACCACCCTCTGGTTCAATATTTGCTTTCCAATAATTTGCTTTTTTTTTTTTTTTTTTTTTTTTTAAATATTTATTTTAGTTTTCGGCGGACACAACATCTTTGTTTGTATGTGGTGCTGAGGATCGAACCCGGGCCGCACGCATGCCAGGTGAGCACGCTACCGCTTGAGCCACATCCCTAGCCCCAAATAATTTGCTTTTAAAAGTTATTATAGCTGGGTGTAGTGGCACATGTTAATTAATTAATTTATTTTTTAATTTTGGTACTGGGGATTGAACTCAGGGGCACTCAACCACTGAGCCACATCTCCAGCCCTATTTTGTATTTTATTTAGAGACAGGGTCTCGCTGAGTTGCTTAGCGCCTTGTTTTTGCTGAGGCTAGCTTTGAATTCTCGATTCTCGTCTCAGCCTCCTGAGCCGCTGGGATTAAAGGTGTGCACCACCACGCCCGGGTAATGTTTATTATTTTGATCAAGTACTCCAAGTATGTAGGCATTTTAGTTGATACTAAATGGCTCTCAAATTTTTATAGACTTCAGCAGGGTTAATCGCTTGATTTAAAAAATGCATTAGTCATCTACCTGCAGAAGGGTGAGCCTCTTTTTTTTTTTTTTTTTTTTTTTAAGAGAGAGAGAGAGAGAGAGAGAGAGCGCGAGAGAGAGAATTTTTAATATTTATTTTTTAGTTATCGGCGGACACAACATCTTTGTTTGTATGTGGTGCTGAGGATCGAACCCGGGCCGCACGCATGACAGGCGAGCGTGCTACCACTTGAGCCACATCCCCAGCCCGGGTGAGACTCTTAATACATAATTCTTTTAAAAGTTTTTGATTATTTTGGTTTCACCAGCTTTATACGTATTGAACAGAATTCTATTAGATTAAAAAAAGTTACAAAGGGGATATATTAAATACATAAGCATCTCAAAAGAAAAAACACAAAATGACAATTTTTAGGTTAACTCTAGTTCAATCTGTGTGGCCAATCAGTCTGGATGGAACTGGGCCAGATTCATTTTGATAATCTTGGGAGGCAAGAAACCTGAGTTTGAATTATGATTTTACTACTTAAGTAGCTGTGTGACTTGGGTAATCCATTATTTCACCTCTTATGGTCCCAGGTGTCTCGTCTCGTAGCCAGGATGCCACTGTCTACTTCTTAAGTGAGATTTGGTAGTTTATGACTTTAAGAAATATCTGTTTCATGTAAATTGTAGAATTTAATATTACAAAAAATTATTCATATATTCCTTATAATCCCATTAATATCTATAGGACCTGCATTTATGTCACTTCTTTCATTTTTCAAATTGGTAATTATATCTTGTCTCTTTCCCCCAGTCAGCTGGTTAGAGGCTTATCAATTTTTCTGATAAAGCATAAAGAATCACATTATGGTTTCGCTAATTTTATTTTTTGTTTTCTGCTTCACTGATTTAACACTATCTTTTTAATTTTCTGTCTTCTACTTATTAAGATAAAAGCTCTTAAGCCAGGTGCAGTGGCATATGCCTGTAATCCCAGCAACTCAGAAGGCTGAGGCAGGAGGATAGCAAGTTAAGGCCAGCCTCAGCAACTTAGCAAGACCCTGTCTCAGAATAAAAATAAAAATGCCCAGCGGCTCAGTGGCATCCTGGTTTGTTATATAGGATATAGCTTAGCAGTGGAGTGCCCCTGGGTTAAGTCCTCAATACCACAAGAAAAAAAGATGAAAAGCTCTTTAAGACATTTTCTTTCGGGCTGGGGATGTGGCCCAAGCGGTAGCGTGCTCGCCTGGCATGCCTGTGGCCAGGGTTCAGTCCTCAGCACCACATACAAATAAAGATATTGTATCCTCTGAAAAGTAAAAAAATAAACATTAAAATTAAAAAAAAAAGACATTTTCTTTCTAATGTAAGCATTTGCTGTTCTTAATATCTTTTTTTTGGTTTTTTTTTTTTTTAATTTTTTTAGTTGTTGATAAACCTTTATTTTATTTATTTATATGCAGAAGCTTAGAATCGAACTCTGTGTCGCACACATGCCAGGCAAGTGTGCTACTGCTGAGGCCGAGCCCCAGCTCTAAATACCTCTTTTTTTGTGTGTGTGTGTGGTGCTGGGGATTGAACCCAGGGCCCCAACCCTTCTAAATATCTCTTTAAAAGCTGATTTAGACGCATTCCTCAAATTGTGATGTGCTTTGCTTTCATTCAGTTCAAAATGACACAATTTTATTCTTGATTACATTTTGACTTACTTATTTCCAAACAGTAACAAATATATTGTTTTCAGATATATTTGTTACTGATTCAGAACAGGGTCTTGCTATGTTGCTTAGGCTGGGCTTGAACTTCTGGGCTTAGATGATCCTCCTGCCTCAGCATCCCAAATAGCTTGGACTACAGGAGCATACCACCATGGCTGGTTTGTTAGTAAATATTACTCAAATCTCTTTGTAACCAGAGAACTTTGGTGCTTTGCATTGATTATATCATTTTACATTTATTTAGCCTTGTTTTATGATCCAAAATAGTCAATCTTGGTAAATATTCTTTGTGTACCTTGAAGGAAATGTATGTTTTGCTATTGTTGGGTAGAGTATTCTATAAATATCAATTAGGTCAAGTAAGTTGATCATGTAGTTCAAATTTTCTGTCTTGACTGATTCTCTATTTGCTTTATCAGTTATGCAAATATTCAGAAATGGACATTTGAACTATTCTATAATTGAGGATCTAGGTTTTGTTTTGTTTTGTTTTAATGGCAGGTACCAGGGACTGAATCCAGGGTTGCTTAACCACTGAACTCATATCCCCATTCCTTTTTGAGACATGGTCTTGCTAAGTTGCTTAGGGCTTGACTAATTTGCTGAGGCTGACCTCGAATTTGCAATCCTCTTGTTTCAGCTTCCCAAACTGCTGGGATTATAGGCATATGCCACCCTGCAAGGCTTGTCTATTCCTTATTGATTCTATTCAGGTTCACTCCAGCCCCCATGTATTCTGAAGCTTTGCTGTTTTTTTTAAAAAAATAGAATATAAGTGAGAAATCCAGGAAAAGTTTTTTTTTTTTTTGTTGTTGTTTGTTTTTTGGTGGTGGCTGGTCTTAAACTCCTGGGCTCAACTGATCCTCCTACCTCAGTCTCCAGGGTAGCTGGGGACTATAGATATATACCTCTAGGCCTGGCTTTGGGAAGGTTTGAGACATTTAAGAGTATAAGCTATAGGTAAGAAAATGATAGACCTCAGGATTACATTATATTGGAGGATAGGGAACATTTGGTCCACATGCCAGCTCTAATTTGAGTGACTTATTTTTAGACTTTGGAACCCAGATTAATTCCTCCATCTAGGTTACAATATCTATTTTAATCAAAGTATAGTGTACACCAGGATAAAGAATTAGAAGAATCATATAAAATATTACGTTACAGGTCACTGTCAACATTTGTCTTTGACCTACAAAATGGTCTTTCCTTTATTTTTGTCATGCTATTGAACTCAAGGCTTTGTTCATGCTAGGCAAGTGCATCATTGCTGAAACATATCCCAGCTCTCTTCTTTCATTTATTTATTCATTATTTTTAAGCACTGGGGATTAAACCCAAGGATGCTTTACCATTGAGCTACATCCCCAGCCATTTTCATTTTATTTTGGGCAGGATCTAAATTGCTGAGGCTGGACTGAAACTTGAGATCCTCCTGCCTCAGCCTCCCAAGTCAGTAAGATTATAGGCATGTGCCAGTGTGTGACACTGCTACCAGCTCTTAGACTCATTCTTGACCTTTGTTTCTTAGTTCCCCACAATCCCTCAGGAAATTCTATGGCTCTAGTTTCAAGATATACCCAAACTCAACACTTCACCATTTCCATTGCTATTATTGTGGTCTTATCCATTAGATGGCAAAATCTTCCTCACCTTAACTGCAATTAACTAATATTTTAAAGGGTAGTGATGAAAATTGTATATATCTGGACCAAGTTCAAAGAAACATGGTAGTGTCTGTAACCTAAACTACTGCCTCATAACTTTTTGGAGACATTTGTCTTAGCTTCTCATCTTCCCCTCCTGCAATTTTTTTTCTTCCTTGTTTCCTTCATAATTGTACAAAACTAATCCATTTTTGGCATTATCCACTTATCACCTCTAAGGTCTAAAATCTACTCTTCATTATCTGCTTAGGAATGACAGAGCTAGACCCTGTTGTGAACACGTGTGTTTGCCAGCTGGTGTGAGGATGACCTTTGTCAGTAGACTGCACTGCAAAGGCACTTGGGGAGGAGCTTTTCTTCCTGATGCTGGTTTACTCCCCTCCACAGGCTCCTACAGCAGGCAGTTTCTAGCTCTAGTGATAGTCAACAGCCAGCCTCACCCAGTACCTTTTTTTTTTTTTTTTTTTGGTGCTGATGATTGAACTGGGTGGGGGGGCCCTCAGGCACAACAGCCATTGCTACATCTCCAGCCATTGCCCCACACCCTGCACTTTTACTGGGATAGCACCTCTCCTTGGACAGCTTCTCTGGAATCTCCTCCAGTGGTTTCCCAGAAAATTCTAGAGTATGTCACCACTCTTTGGATATTTCCTAGGTATTGAGGGCAAATTGTAATAAGTCTCTCCGATGCAACCTTTCAATAAACTCTGTTGTCCACTGAGCCATAGTTGTGACCTAATAAAATTTGGCTCAACCTGAAAGGGAAGACCTCTTCTAGATGGCTTTGCTTCAGCCCTTAGGTTTGTAGTTGTCCCCTATATATGCTATTTTTATGTTCTTTTTAATTACTTGATAGCAAATCCTCCATTATTTCAATTTGGTATTATTTGCAATAGTTAATCTTATATATCAACAAAATGCCCAGATATTTGGTAAAACATTATTCTAGATGTTATTGAGAAGTTTTTATTTTATTTACTTTTGGGGGAGGTACTGGGGATTGAATCTAGCAGTGCTTTACCACTAAGCTACATCCTCAGACTTCTTTTTAAATTATGAGACAGGGTCTCACTAAACTGCTGGGGGCTTTGCTAAATTGCAGACTACCCAGTTAGAATAAGATATATTTCATGACTGTATAATTACCTCAAAATGACTTGTACTGTCATGTTTAACTAATAAAATAAAATAAAATAAAAATAAAAATCAATTAAAAAACAAATAAATAAATTGCAGAGGCTGGTCTTAAACTTTCTCCTCCTGCCTCATCTCCCAAATTGCTGGGATTATACACATGTACCATCATGGCCTGAAAGTTGGTTTTATCTGAATGACACAAACATTTAAATTGGTGGATTTGCCAGGCACAGTGGTATACAACTGTAATCCCAGTAATTTGGGAGGCCGAAGAAGGAGGATTGCAAATTCAAAGCCAGCCTAGGCACTTTAAGTGAGTACCTGTCTCATTTAAATAAAAAGGGCTAGGGATGTAGGTTACTGGTAAAGCACTCCTGGGTTCAATCTCTAACACTGGGGGTTAGGGGGTGGGAAAGGTGGACTTGAAAGTTCAAGTAAAGCAGGTTACCCTCCACAATGTGGGTGCAATCAGTTGAAGGCTTAATATAATTCCCCCCAAGACTTGATTTTTTCAGTTCAATTTTCCCTCCACCCATTCTAGATAAACAAGTGTCCAGCAGATTTTTTTTTTAAACTATGTAATGGTGATTGTTTTTATTTTTGAAGTCTTTTGCCCTATGAAACATTTAGTAAGATTTTCCAATGATGAAGCAAAACAAATTATCAACCCCACAGTTTTATTTGTAAAGAACAAAGCATGAAAAGTCATATTTAAATGTACTTCAAAATCTGAAAAACCCATGTCAGTTTGCCTGATATGTTAAAGTGCTTAATATCACAATACTCTTTTTTAAGTGTTATATCATGTCCAGATGAGAAATAAAGAAATATCCAGTTCTGATACACTTTGTTAACAATACAAAGGGAAACAATATAATTTAAATACAGAAATGCTAATTAAAAAAAAATATACAGGGTACATTTATACATGGTTCAAGTGTAACATGGGATTTTTTTTTGTTGTTGTTCCACTCCCTCATCTGATTGACAACAGAATCTCCTTAATATACTTCTCTACTGTCAACAAAAGTTGGTGTTTAGATGAAGACTGGGTCTAACACCTAAGTACATCCAGGTAACTGGACCAAGCATGATTTCCTTCTACATAACCTAAGGTATGTTGGACCCTAAGAGGAAAAATTTTATTTGGTGAACTTTTTTCACTCTGGTATTAATATCTCAATGTGATGCCTTTTTGAAGCCAATTTTTATGTCTTCCTTAAGGGGTAATTAGCTCTAATAAATTTGGGAGGGTAAAGTTCTCCTTGAACTCTTTCTTTATTAGTAAGATTGAATGTGGGGCCTTGTGCATGCTAGGCATGCACAGTACTGTACCACTGAGTTGCACCCCAGTCTTTCCTTGGACTCTCTCTCTCTCTTTTTTTGTGTGTGTGGTGCTGGGGATTGAACCCAGGGCCTTGTGCATGTGAGATAAGCACTCTACCAACCGAGCTATATTCCCAGCCCCCTCCTTTGAACTTTTGATCATACTGCAACAATGATCTTTTCAAAAAGCTTGTATTCATTTAATTCAACAGATTTATAATCCCATTTTAACAGAAATAAGGAACTCAGTAGCTTGTCATTCTTTCTGATTTATGTTAAATGGTAATGAATAAATTCATCTGTTACAGGAATTCAAAGGACACAGACAACTTGGAAATAGGATTCACTTCACAAAAATTGAGAACTCAAGACCCATTCTCAATCAATGAAGTTGTGTTAATACTGAAATGTAAGTAGCTAAGGTTCAGATTGTCCTCTCAACATTTGTGAAAAGGATAGACTAATATCTGTAAACCTCACAGAAAATACTCACAGTTCCCTAAATGAAAAATCTATTGGAAAAAAACCCATAATTCTTAATAGAAGATATTTCATTATGAAGAGCTATACTCCCAAAGCTAACAGATATTTCCCTGGGAATTTAAGGTCCTCAATTATTGCCTCATGTTTCAAAACACCTTAGGGTATCAATAATATACTACACATAAGTTGTCATATATAATCTTAACCTCTCTTTTTCACTTACACCTGCATACAAGGCTTTGTTGCCAAAAAAGGAAGTATGAGCAATTCAGTTTTTCCCCTACATCATTTATACAGTGTGACAGAACTTCATTAATATTATAAAAAAGAGGGGCTGGGGTTGTGGTTCAAGGGGTAGAGTGCTCACCTGGCATGTGTGAGGCACTGGGTTCAATCCTCAGCACCACATAGAAATAAAATAAAGGTACTGTGTCCACCTACAACTAAAAATAAATATTTTAAAAAATTATAAAAAAATAGAAAAAAAGAAAAAGAAAAAAGTCATGTTAATGTAAATAACAGTTACCAAAAAAAAGTGTGGGACATTTATAAGAAATTTTAGAGGGAGGGGCTGTGGTTATGGCTCAGTGGTAGAATACTTACCTAGCATGTGTGATAGGCACTGGGTTCAATCCATAGAACCACATAAATAAATAAAATAAAGGTATTGTGTCAATCTACAACTAAAAAGAATATTTAAAAAGTTTTTAGAGGGAAAGCTAAATCTTTGCAAATTTTAGGTCTCTTCTACCAAACTCACTCTTCCAGTGGGACATATGTGGAGGGCAATGGTTGGGAGGCTTTCATTCTTAGCAGCCTACTTTTCCCACCTAGAGCTCTTTTATACCACCTCATACTTGAGTGTCAGTCATTTTTCTTTTTTCTTTTTCTGTATTGGGGATGGAACTCATGGCCTCAAGCCTGCTGGGCAAGTGCTCTAACACTGAGCTACATTGCCAGCCAAGGCAATTTAAGTTTTAAATAATTTCTTCCAAAGCCACTGTTATTTGAAAATCTTAATTATGGCCCCAGGCATTTAATTTTATTTGGAGGGGGAAAAAGCAAATAGAAAATTTATTTTTATTTACTTTATAGTATGATTCTAAAGCAATATACTAATTTTAAAATTAACATAGCAAGGCTGGGGTTGGTTGTAGCTCAGTAATAGAGCACTTGCCTAGTACGGGTGAGGCACTGGATTTGATCCTCATCACCACATAAAAATAAGTATAAAATAGCCAGAGTTGTGGCGCACGCCTGTAACCTCAGTGGCTCGGGAGGCTGAGGCAGGAGGATCTTGAGTTCAAAGTCAGCCTCAGCAAAAAAGTGAGGTGCCAAGCAACTCAGTGAGACCCTGTCTCTAAATAAAATACAATATAGGGCTGTGGATGTGGCTCAGTGGTTGAGTGCCCCTGAGTTCAATCCCTGGCACTAAAAAAATAAAGGTATTATGTCCATCTACAACTAAAAGTATTTTTTAAAAAGTTAACATAGCAGAAAGGATATCTCTAAATGGATATGATCAATCCAAAAGTCAGGGTGAATGAGTGCAGTGGCGTACACTTATAATCCCAGCAACTCTGGAGGCTGAGGCAAGAGGATCCCAAATTTAAAGCCAGCCTCAACAACTTAATTCAGCCCTAAACAATTTAGTGAGACCCTGCCTTAAAATAAAAAAATAAAAAGGACTGAAAGGACTGGGGATATAGCTTGGTGGTAAAAAAAAGTACCTCTGAGTTCAATCCCTCCTACAAAACAAACAAGCAAACAAACAAAAAACAACTCAAGTATGAAAGGTCACACATTTATTCAGTGGATTCTGCTTACTGGTGTGCTCAAAACATTTTGGGATTAACTCAGAGACAGTCATAAGCCACCTGAGTTTTATTTCTTTATAATTGTACTAGATGACTCCATCAGCAGAATCATTCTTTTATTCATCAAACTTGGACTGCAGGGACTTTATGCTGTTTCTAATTATTAATTTATTCTGAAATATTTATTCTGAGAATATTTATTCCGAGAATATTCAAAAGAATGAGCTATGGGCCATTCGAGTAGATCACAAGTGGCCCAAGTGTGTACAGCAAAGGCTATGCCCCAGGGACAAGCACAGGTGCTCTGAGGTGACTACTGCGCCTAGCCAAGAGGATTTATAGTTTTTGAAATTGGTTCTTCCCCTACTCTTCTCTTGTTTTCTTTTTTTTCCTTTGGTACTAGGGATTGAGCCCAGGTATACTCTATCACTGATCTACATCCCCATGCTTTATTTATTTTTTTATTTTTTGAGACAGGGATTTGGTACAGTCCACCCAGGCTGGACTCAAACTTGTCATCCCCCTGCCTCAGCTTCCTGAAAAGCTGAATTTTAGTAATTTTACTGTTATAGTCATACTACACAACAAAGTGGGATGAAACTTTACTCATAACTTGTGTGTGTGTGTGTATGTATGTATATATTTTGGTATTTCAGAAGCATGGTCTTATGGAAAAGGTAACAAGAATGAAACCCTGTGCTGGGCACAGTGGTGCACACCTATAATCCCAGCGGCTCAGGAGGCTGAGGCAGGAGGATCAAAAATTCAAAGCCAGCCTCAGCAAAAGGGAGGTGATAAGCAACTCAGTGAGACCCTGTCTCTAAATAAAATACAAAATAGAGCTGGGGATGTGGCTCAGTGGTTGAGTGCCCCTGAGTTCAATCCTGGTACCCACCTCCCAAAACAAGAATGAAACCCTGGATTGGGCCATCTATAATTTCTGATCACTATGGTAGAAGACAGGTGAAAGAGGTTATGAATGTCTTTAGAATTCCTATATCCCTAGGATAGCTACACCATTGTAGATACAGTTTAGTTTAAACCATTCTCTCTTCTACCCAGGTCAACCAGAACCACCTTCTTTTTAAAAATATTTTTTTACTTGGAGTTGAACACGATACCTTTATTTTATTTTATTTATTTATTTTTATTTGGTGCTAAGGATTGAACCCAGGGTGTCGCATGTGCTAGGTGAGCACTCTATCACTGAGCCACAACCCCAGCCCCAGAACCACCTTCTTAAGCCCTTTGCATAGGTTTCATGTGAAGCCTTCAACAACCCTTTTTTTAAGTATAAAGTCACATGACAAAAGGGCCTGTTTCTTAGCTGCATACAGTGTTTGATAAAGGGAGTGAGGCACTTGTTTCACTAATTTCTTCCTCCAGGAAATAAGGGAACAACACTGTTGGCTAGAGCCCAGGACCTTTAGGTTGCACAAGGATCCTAAGAAGCCATGGCTTGGCTTTGCAGTCACAGTTGGGAATAAAACCTGGAGGTCTGCTGAGGCAAATTTCCTGTTAACAATGTTCCACTCTCTAATTAGAATTAGGCGACCTATCAGAAGATGAAGACTTAAGGTAACTACCTAACACTACATTTACTTAACTTCTTTATAAACAATCAAATTGTAAAGTTACTCACAAGTCTGGTCTTTCAAAACTGCTGCCTCTTGTTTCTTGTTTCATTTCCATTTTGTCAATCTGTGCTCCTCTGGGCCAGTTGTTTTACATTATTGCCCCTTCTTACAAAGGAACAGAAAGCTTGCCCTGAAACACCCAGAAAGGGTTCATTCTTTCTCTCCGGTTCTGTTATTTGCATTATCATGGTCAACAAATACTTTCACAAAAACATTCCAAGCCACCCAGTGCCCTCCTCCTTCTTAGACATTCCTTCCATTTCCTGAAGGGGGATGGGCATGCAGAGGGGGTGGCTGGAACCTAACAGAGCTGGTTATCCTTAAGATGTAAAGGACCACTGCAGAGTTTACATGGACAAATTAAAGTGCAGAATCACGTTGCTGTTTGTAGTACTTATAACTATGAGGCTAAACTCTGAAATTCATATCTTCCTAAAGTACCTCAAATAACAAGAATAAAAATGCCAAGAATGAAATTAGTCTAGGCTAATCTTTCCAAAGTGCAAAGAAGTTATAATCCCATAATTTTAACACACTTCTCAGGGCTTCCTGTGTTTCTTTCCAGTTCAGCCAAGCTCCCAGTGTCTGGTAGTTAAAATACTTGAATTAACTGGGGAGGGGTTGGTGGGGGGCATGCGTATAATCCAAGGGACTCAGAAGGATGAGGCAGGAAGAATAAAAGTTCGAGGCTAGCCTCAGCAATTTAGTGAGAACTTTCAAAAAAATAAAAATAAAAAGGGTTGGGGACATGGCAGAGAGGTAATGTGCCCCTGGATACAATCCCCAGTATCAGGAAAAAGAAAATGCTTGAATTATATCTTTACCTTGTGCCAACTGATTTTTTTTTTTTCCCAAAAGGCTGGAAAAGTGACTCAATTTAAATGCATAAGCATAAAGTGGTTTATAACTTAAAAAATACAAGTGAGGATTATTCCACAGTAGGTAAAATGGCATACATTCACTATACAAAGGATCAACACAGGATGGATGGCTACCACATACAATGCATTCTGGGTTCCTTTGTGATACCTACAGGAGAAAAAAAAAAAGCCCAACAGGGTTGCACCATATTTACATGTTTACTGGCTTCTTCCTGACTAGCACCACTCTTCCCCCTAACCCCCAACATTTTTAAACTACTTATTTTAAATCACAGGAATTTTCAATCTAAGAAAAGTATCTTATTAGAGTAATATAATTTCTTAAAGAAGATAGCATATTTACACACATCTAACACATGAAAATACTCTATTTTATACTAAATTCCAGGTTCAAATGAACTACAATACAGCATTGCCTTGTCTGCAGAGTAAAGATCCTTCAAATTGGGACATACACTGGGTTGACCCCTGCGTGACTCACTACTGTCAGACAAGTCTAAGTCTGTCCCCATAGTTGGGAGAAGGTTCAGAATTCAGAGGTTTGGACTGAGAATTTCTGGACAGTTGGTTTACACATCCACTCCTTTGATGAGTGATCCTTCCAATACTATGGTGAAGTCCTGAATTGTTTGCAGAATTCGGATGAGGGAGTTGACGGTCATGCGATCTCGCAGAAGTGCACTCTCCTCATACATTCGAGTGATGGCAGGACACTCAGCTAACAATGGAATCCACTGAGGCAGCAGGTGATCTCTACAGACCCAAACAGAAATGATTTCTTAGTACCAAGAGAGAGCCTCACTGCACAACAATGGACATATTGGTGCTTTCATTTGGGAAGGTGTGGGGCTGAACAGTGCAATCTCCAGCCAAGCTCTGAGGTCAACAGAGAGGAAACCAAAACCAAGAAGGTGGAGGAGATTCACTGATAGAAAGGTTGTAATCAGAGTACAAAGCGAATAGGAAAATCCACTAGATTCTAAAAGTACATCAGAAAGTCTACACACATTAAAGAAATTCTCTGATTTTACCACCTTTTTTGGGGTACCAGGGATTAAATTTAGGGACACTTTACCACTGAGCCACAACCTCAGCCTTTTTGATATTTTTATTTTGAGAGAGGGTATTGTTAAATTGCTTAGGGTCTTGACAAGTTGCTAAGGCTGGCTTCGAACTTGTGATTCTCCTGCCTCAGCATCCAGAACCATTGGGATTACAGGTGTGTGCCACCTAGGCCACATGCGTGGGCCACCTTGGCTGGCATGCTTTTACCACTTTTTTTTTTTTTTTTTTTTTTTTTTTTTGTGGTGCTGGGGATTGAACCCAGGGCCTTGTACATGCAAGGCAAGCATTCTACCAACTGAACTATATTCCCAAACACCATTTACCACCTTTTTAAAAAGAGGTTGGGGGCCGGGCTATTGGCAGATGCCTGTAATTCCAGCTATATGGGATACTGAGGCAAGAAATTAGTAAGTTCAAGTCTAGCCTGGGCAATTTAGCAAGATCCTGTCTCAAAATAAAAAAAGGGCTGGGGATATATTTCAATGATAAAGCCCACCTGGGTTTAATCCCCAGTACCAAAATAATTTCCTATGTCTTTTTTTTTTTTTTTTTAAACAAGGGTACTATTCTGTGGCAAAAGCCTCCTAGAATATACTGACAGACTATATTAAATAGTAGGGATTTTCTTTAAAAACAAAAAAACAACAACAAACTTACCTCGGGAAGCAAAACTGAAGTAAAAAAATGTAAGTAGATTTTATAACCCCAAAGAGGGTTTGCATTGATCAAATAAATCATAACAGTACAAAGATAAAAATAGATAAAGATCATACTCAAGAAAAACTTTAAAGTTTTATTAACAAATACAGAACTTTCATATGTTAACTGCTGTTTCATTATGACACTGTCTCATATCTTCCATTGTTTCCAATCATACCTGACACTGGCAATCGGTTAGAGTATCTTCACCCAGCACCCTCAACATACCTTTCTATGACATGCGTGACCATAACTAGCCATTCTCAATCTCAAATTGGGGCTCTCAATGTTTGTGAGAAAACAAAAATTACACCAATAAGTTTAAAATATCCTCAGCCCTTTTTATTTATTTTCTTAAATTTTGAGACACAGCCTCTCTAAGTTGCTAAGGATATTGCTAAATTGCTGAGGCTAGCCAGGTACTTGCGATCCTCCTGCCTCTACTTCCGGAGTTGCTGAGATTACAGGCACACACCATGATGCCCACCCCCTATATGTCATTTTCAAAAAACAAAGCTACCAGTAGGGCTGGGTGTGGAGCTCAGTGGTAGAACACGCGTCTAGCACATGCAAGGCCAAGTTTAATTCTCATTAATGTGATAAAATAAAACAAAGGAGTAGGAAGCTGGTGTGGTGACTGACATTTGTAAGCCCATCAATTCAGGGGGCTGACACTAGGACAGCAAGTTTGAGGACCACCTTGGTAACTTAGTGAGATTCTTTCTCAAAAATAAAAAAGGGCAACCCACAATAAAAAATTAAAAAAAAAAAAAAAAAAAAGAAGCTATCAAAAAAAAAAAAAATAAAAAAATAAAAAAGGGCTAGGGATTGTAGGTCAGTAGTAGAGCACCCGTTGGTTCAATGCCCAGTATCACAAAGATGAATGAATAAATGAATGGGTGGAAATAGTCCTTTTTTTTTGGGTACCAGGGATTAAACTCAGGGGCACTGAATTACTGAGCCAAATCCCCAGCTCTATTTTGTATTTTATTAGAGAAAGGGTCTGACTGAGTTGCTTAATGCTAAATTGCTGAGACAGGCTTTGAACTTGTAATCCTCTTGCCTCCGCCTCCAGAGTCCCTGGGATTACAGGAATGCACCATCACACCTAGCTAGGGAATAGTCTTAAAGAGAAGATGAACCAGGCACAGTAGTACATGCCTGTAATCCCAGCAGCTCAAGAGGCTGAGGCAGGAGGATTTGGAGTTCAAAGTCAGCCTCTGCAACAGCGAGGCGGTAAGCAACTCAGCGAGACCATGTCTCTAAATAAAATACAAAATAGGGCTGGAAATGTGGCTTAGTGGTTGAGTACCCCTGAGCTCAATCCCGGTACCTCTCTCCTGCCCCAAAAGATGACATTTATATAACAAGGATCCCACAATATTATTATATTCATAGCAATATGGTGGTGTATCACATAAGGTCTACAGAATAAATACACATGTATGACTTATCTGTTATCTATTTACTTATCTTTGGAGCCAGTACAGAGAAAAAGTTGAGAATCTGGGCTGTAGCATGGGACTGGATGTGAATCCTGGCTTTCCTTTCTTGCTATGTGACTTTGGGAAAGTGTGCTAACTTATCTGTGTTTATTTCCTATTTTCTCACCTTCAGAATAGGGAGATCATGTGGTGGTAGTAGTGAAATAATAGGAGCATACCCAGAAAATTAGTTTCATAATAGAAATTGAAATGATAGAAACTCAACAGAGGGTTTGGGAGGGGCATGATCTGTTTTAACCCCTTCTGGACTCCTGTTCAACATGTAACAAACATAAGGAAAGTAAAAAACTGGTTTTATACCGTGTTCCAAGGCAAACTAAAATCTGGAATTTGCCATCCTTCCCAATGTTTCTGGGTGCAGTATTAATAGCATTTACATAGTGGCAGAATGTTTTACAGGATGATTTGTGGATAAGAACATCATCTTCATTGTCCAGAATCTGGTCTAGGGTTTCAAAATAGGTAACCGCTTTCTCTGTGGAAACAAAGCAGAATCACATTTCACAACAGAGTTAATACTTGATCTATAGACTCATCATTTAATTTATTCTGGAAACACTAATAAGGCTTTGTATCATAGCCAGTCCCAAAGCCAAAATCATTACCTTATCATTGGTTTCAATATAAATTTCAGAAGTTCACATTTCATGGTAGAACAATATATTCCCAGAAATTTTTTTTTCCATATTGGCTAAACCATTTTTTTATTCCTACCAGCAATGTATAATAATTCTAATTTCCCAGAAATTTATTTTCTAATCAAAACTGTAATTTATTTTCTAAAAGCTTAGAAAGTTTACTTTAATAAAAATATCTCCATGAAAAGAAATTGGCAAAACAGAAAAATAGAATCTTGTAAGACTGGAAGCTTTCAGTAGTCTATGATAGAACAATCATTAAGATGGTGCCTTCTAGGGTGGGGGCTGTAGCTCAGTGGTTGAATGCCTTGCACGTGTAGGCACTGGGTTCAATCCCCAGCACCTTAAAAATAAACAAAAAAAAATAAAAAATAAAAAAAAATAAAGGCATGCTGATGCTGTCCATCTACAAGTACCAAAAAAAAAAAAAAAAAGAAAAGAAAAAAAGAAAAAGATGGTGCCTTTTGTTCTGGAATGGCTGCTTAACACTTTGCACAAGATCCTTGAAATAGACCCGACTGAGTAAACCTGAGGAAGACAGTTGTTGATATACACATCGGAGTCAGGACCAGAAAGAAAAAAAGTAAAAATCACTCTTGGGCTTAGTTTTGTAATTTTCCTTTCTTTAAAGGCCTGAAAATCCTGAGTTAGGTGAAATCAGTCACTGCTTTATCTAGGCCTTATTTATAAAACACAAAATGATTAACTGCTCCTTTAAAGAAACTGGGAATTCTAGAGGAACTGCATACCAAAAGAAAGATCACAAATGTTAGCAGGCTAGAGCAGCACATTCCAACAGAACTTTCTTTCTTTCTTTTTTTTTTTTTTTTTGTGTGTGAGAATTCTTTTATTTATTTTTTTATTTATTATTTTTTAAAAAATTTTTAATGTTGGTTGTTCAAAACATTACATAGTTCTTGACATATCATATTTCACACTTTGATTCAAGTGGGTCCAACAGAACTTTCTGTAAGAATAGAAATGTTCTATATCTACAAGGCCCAATTTGGTTGCCACTAAACATGTGTGGCTACCAAGTATTTGGAATATGGTCAGTAAAACTAAAAAAGCAAATTTTAAATTTAATTTAAATTAAATCAATCTAAGTTTAAATATCCATGTATGGCTATTGGCTTATCATACTGGACAGCTCAGAACTAGAGAACTCCTTTTTTTTTTTTTTTAGTTGTTGATGGACTTTATTTTATTTATTTATATGTGGTGGTGAGAATTGAACCCAATGCCTCACACATGCAGGCAAGTGCTCCACCACTGAGCCACAACTCCAGCCCTAGAAAAGTCCTTAAAAAAAAAAAAAAATTAGCTGGATGTGGTAGTGCACACCAGTAATCCCAGCTATTTGGGAGGCTGGGGCAGGAGGGCTACAGATTTAAGTTCAGCCTGGGCAATTTAGTGAGACCCTGTCTCTCACACACAAAAAAAGTCTGGGGATGTGGTTCAGTATGTGCCTAGACTGTATGAGGCCCTGATTCAATCCCCAGTGTCAGAAAAAAAGGAAAAGAAAAATACATACATTGGTGTGTGTTTATAAATTATATGATGTCACTCTTCATCTTAAAGTCTTCCAATGGCTTTCAGAATGAAGGCCACGGTTTTCCCAATGACTTAGAAGGTAAATACCCCACTTCCTTCACAAATTTCCTACTCTCTCTCTCTGGTCTTCTTGTAGTTCCATGAAAAGGCCACACTTCCAAGTAGGAGCCTCTGTACTGGCAGTTATTTCCACCAGATATTCATATGGCTCAGTTTGTTACCTTCTTGAAGTCCGAGCCCAAAAGTCACTTTCTTTGACCCAGCTCAATTTTTCCCAAATGAAAGATCAACTTCTGTATACCATATGAATTATGTATTTCCTAAAGATTTTATATATTCTCTGTTCTCTCATCCCCATCAGAAACATAAAAATTTGTCAACCTTAGGAATTTCTGTTGTGTTTACTGATATATCTCTCGAGCATCTAGAACAGTGTTTGTATTATTGTATGTACTATAAATGTTTGTTGAATGATGAAAAACAAAGACAGTGCTTATTTAATATTTATTTTTAAAAATAGACTCCTTTATTACTAAACTTTATTCAAATTCTTGGATCTCTGAATTTTCTAAGAAACATTTCAATTGCATTATAATAACATATATCTGCTTAATTTACCTACGAAATCCCAGATGAAGACATTCTTGTGAAAGATTCGGGCAGATTTGAACCCATGGTGGAAGACTTGTTCAAGTGCTGCAACCAGGCCATTTTCTCCACAAAGCAAAACCGTGAGGCTTCCTCTCTATGAAGCATAACACATAGTGTTAAAAGAAAAACTGTTGCCTCTATGCTTAGAAAACCACTAAAGAAACAAGGAAATGCTGAGGGTGGCTATAGGAAGCATGTTTTTGTAGCTATTAAAAAGCTTACAAGTGAAAATTAAGGTACCACATATTGCTTTATGTATCACATATAAAAATGGCTTTAAAACTCCCACTATATGAGGTTATATAGCCCATAATACCTCTTTTTCAGGTTTATGAAAATGTTTCACAATATTGTTCACAGCTTCTCCAATTCCTTCTTGGATCTGTCCAGCATTGGGTTCTGTAAAATAATGAAGAGGGGTTGCATACTCATGCAGGAAAAATAAATCCAAGTACCATGTGATATCAACCATGTCCATCTCTGCAGGAAACACTTCACAAGACCAGGCTGACTCTGCCAGGGACTCCATGAAACTTACCTCTGAACAGTCTACCCAAGTGGGAGGTATCTTGGCACAATGAAAAAGAATTCAAGAAATCGATCCCTAAAGCAAACCCCAGCCTTACCCTGCAATTTATAACCCAAGCCAAGTGTCTAACTTTCTGTGAGTTTGACTCTTTCAACTAAAAAATAGAAATATATACACCTTACTGGAAAAACTAACAAGATATTAGGTGTAAACTACCTAACATGATGCCTGCTACCCAGTGCTAATAATAAGTCTCCAGATCTGAGGAGTAAGATGTGGATGGACCCTATCATCAATCCTCATATACTCCCTTAGTCTACTTACTTCTAAGCCCCTGAATGGACCCAGGCTAAGGCTTCTGAGGCTTGGAATGGCTAACCTGGAGTGAAGTTTACCAGTTGTGTTAAAGTAAGTGGAAATCCTAGGTTCCCTGTGGCACCCCAAATGGAAGCTCAGGACTCTTCCCCTTTCTGGCTACTAAGTTTGTGTCTACTTCATTTTCCAAGCCAGCAGATGCTCATCTAGGCCGAGAGAGAGGGAGAAGGGGGTGATGGTGAAGGGAGGGAAGGAGGAAGAAGAGAAAAGAGCTTGTGTGGTTGATGAGCTGTCTAAATGGAACTTTAACTGTCATTATCCACTGTACTAAGAATGATTAAAAGAAAAGTAAAGTGTAACAGATTTCATCAAGCATCAGAAATAGGTAACAGGAGAAAAATGATTAAGTATTAGATCTAATTTATTTACTTCACTATAAGGGAAAACACTGTGTACTGTATTGTTTAAGAGTCTTAGTTCATACTGCTGGAGGATTTTTAAAAAATATTTCTTTAATTGTAGATGGACACAATACCTTTATTTTATTTATTTTTATGTGGTGCCAGGGATGAATCCAGTGTCTCACACATGCTAGGCAAGTGCTCTACCACTGAGTCACAACCCCGGCACCAGGATTTTTTTTTTTTTTTAAACATAAAAACAGCCCAGTCCTTTAGGTAAAATTCAAGAAGGTTTTTCCTAAACTGGTAAGTTTTTACCAGTGCATAAAAATTGTTGAACTGGGCTGGGATTGTGGCTCAGTGGCAGAGTGCTTACCTCACACCTATGAGGCACTGGGTTCGATCCTTAGCACCATGTAAAAATAAATAAGTAAAATAAAGGTACTGTGTCCATCAAAACTAAAAAAAAAAAAAAAAAAAAAATTGTTGAACTGGCAATGTCTTATGATTGAAGACTGGTACTGTGATCTCTCCAGCTACTAGTAGTTTTTCTAACCAGCATTTTTTTTTCCCTCCCCACTTTTACCTTTCTCTGAATATTTTCTTTTAAATATTGTCTTATTCATTCTAAAACAGCCTTACACTAATCAGTAGTATTTTTAAAAAAATATTTTTTAGTTGTAGTTGGACACAATATCTTTATTTATTCTTATGAGGTGCTAAGGATTGAACCCAGGGCCTCACATGTGCTAGGCCAGCACTCTACCGCTGAGCCACAATCCCAGCAATCAGTAGTATTTTGATGGATTTAAAACTTTCAAGTTCTCTGAATATCACCTTGCATATCTTGTGAAAAAATACCCTGCTATCCATCCATCTCTGAGTCTTGAATTATTTAAAAATCTGGGCTTATTGAACAAGCAAAGAAAATATGAGTGAAATTGAGAAATAATGGTAGGTGTGGTAGTTTACACCTGTAATCCCAGAATTTGGGAGGTTGAGGTAGAAGAAAAATCACAAGTTCCAGGGTAGCCTAAGCAACTTAGCAAGACCCTATCTCAAAATGAAAAATAAAAAGGGCTGGAGACCTAGCTCAGTGGTAGAGCAGCCCTGGGTTCAATACCCAGTACCAACAAAACCAAACAAAATAGTCAAACTATGAAACTGGCCTAATTCAGAATTGCAATAAATTTGGATGGAAGTGAAATCTAGTTTTTATACATATATTTTATGGGGGATAGGGTACAGTGCTGGGCAATGTTGGGGATCAAACCGAGGGCCTTATGAATGCTAGGCAAGCATTCTACCATTGTGTTACTTTCCTAGCTCTGAAATCTACTTTTGAATTAAATTAAATAAGTCAATTATTTTTTGGAGTTGGGGATTAAATCCAGGGTCTTGTACTCGCTAAGTACATGCTCTACCACTGAGCTACACCCTTAATTCCTCTTCTCCTTTTTAAAGTCCCTTCTCCCAAATTAATTTTCCTCTTTCCTACTCTCTTTGCCATAATTCATTAATGCAATCTTTTTTTAAAAATATTTTTTTAGTTGTAAGTGGACACAATACCTTTATTTTATTTGTTCATTTTTTATGTGGTGCTGGGGATTGAACTCAGTGCCTCATGCATGCTAGGCAAGCTCTCTACAACTTAGCCACAACCCCAGCATCCCCCACTTTTTTTTTTTTTTTTTGGTGTGAAATCACCACATGAAGCCTGCAACATGTAAAGCACACTAGGAAAAAAAAAGGTTGAGTGCTCCTGAGCAATTTAGCGAGGCCCCAAGCAACTTAGTGAGACCCTGTCTCTAAATAAAATATAAAAAAGGGCTGGGGATGGGGCTCAGGAGTTAAGAGCTCCTGGTTTCAATCCTGGTACCAAACAAACAAACAAATCAAACTACTTACTGGCAGTTTTTCCTGTTAGGGAAGTGATGCTCAGTCTCCTAGCTGTGGTGGGTGATTTCTGCTGGGGTGGAGTCCGACACTGTTTTACCAGGTCCTCATCTGATGCTGATGTCATCAATTCTCCAATAAGAATTCTCTCCAGGCTCCCATCATCAATGCCTTTCCCTAGCCACCGCCCACATGGAAATCTGAGAGGGGAGAAAAAAACTTCTCAATCATTAATTTTTAAAAACTGTTTTAATTAGAGTTTAGGAATGGTACCATGGATTAAGCTCATCATTTTAATGTCTCTGGGGTGAACTGGGGATGGACCTAATTGGTAGACCACTTGCCTAGAATGTGTTGAGGCCCTGGGTTTAATCCCCAGCATCGCAAAAACAAAAAAGCCTGTGGGTTGCCTTTATTTATGAAAATTTCAAAAATATAGTAAAGTGGAAAATGGTATATTAGACATCCATATTTCTTATCACAGACGTAATATTTTGCCATTTGCTTCATTTTTCTAGTTAAGTATTGTATTTTTCATTTTTTTGTAATCCCAGGCTCTGAATCCAGGGCTTTGGGCATGTTAGGCAAGCACACTACTACTGAGCCACACCCCCCTTACTGTTAAGTATTTTTTTTTTTTAAATATTTTAATTTGTTATATATGACAGCAGAATGCATTTCAATTCGTAGTACACAGATATAGCACAATTTTTCATATCTCTAGTTGTACACAACGTAGAGTCATACCATTCGTGTCTTCATACATGTACTTGAGGTAATGATGTCCATCTCATTCCACTGCCTTTCCTACCCACTCTTCCTCTCCCACCCCGCTGCCCTATCTAGAGTTCATCTATTCCTTCCATGCTCCGCTCACATCCCCCTTATGAATCAGCATCCTCATGTCAGAGAAAAGATTCGGGCATTTGGTTTTTTGGGATTGGCTAACTTCACTTAACATTATATTCTCCAACTCCATCAATTTACCTGCAAATGCCATAGTTTTATTCTTTTTTTGTGGGGTGGGTACCAGGGATTGAACTCAGGGGCACTCAACCACTGAGCTACACCCCAGCCCAATTTTGTATTTTATTAGATACAAGGTCTCACTGAGTTGCTTAGCACCTTATAGTTGCTGAGGCTGGCTTTGAATTCATGATCCTCCTGTCTCAGTCTCCCAAGTTGCTGAGATTACAGGTGTGAGCCACCACGCCTGGCTGATTTTATTCTCTATTAATGCTGAATAATATTCCATTGTGTCTATACCACATTTTCTTTATCCATTCATCAACTGAAGGGAATCTAGCCGCTGGGATTACAGGCATGCGTCACTGGGCCCAGCTTTATTTTTTGTTTTGAGACAGGGTCTCACTAAGTTATTTAAGGCCTCACTAAGTTGCTGAGGCTGGCCTAGAACCTGGGATCCTCCTGCTTTAGCCTCTAGAGTTGCTGGGATTACGGGCATGCTCCATTATGCCAGGTGGAAAGAATATTTTCAAACTGAAAATGAATGTGGGAGTTAAATCACAAGAGAAAAAAGGAGAATGTTTACTCTTAAGATTCTGTAATTGGTAGAATTTAAGAGATGATTTTCTCTTATCAAAATTATTATTTTTTCAAAATTTTTTTTAGTTGTAGATGGACACAATACCTTTATTTTGTTTGTTTATTTTTATGTGGTGCTGAGGATTGAACCCAGTGGTTCACATGTGCAAGGCAAGCACTCTATACCACTGAGCCACAACCCAAGCCCCCTTATCAAAATTATTTAAAAAATTCCTTTTTTCCTTCTTCTTCTTTTTTTTTAGTTATGCCAATTTTTCCAAAACTTGTGGACTATTAAAGAATAATTTTATATTACATAAAAAAAAAACAAAAAATTGAATTATAATGCAGAAGGCAGGGGAAAAACTTTAGAAAGAAAACTATTTCAAACCTTTTTTTTTTTTTTAAATATTTATTTTTTAGTCTTTGGCGGACACAACATCTTGTTTGTATGTGGTGCTGAGGATCGAACCCGGGCCGCATGCCCGGGCGAGCGCTCTAACCCTTGAGCCACATCCCCAGCCCTCAAACCTTATCTAAAGAGCTTTGGCTGTGAATGTAGCTCAATGGTGAAGTGCACGTCTGGCATGTATGAGGCTCAGGGTTCAATCCCTAGCATTGCATAAATAAATAAATAAATAAATAAATAAGTCTCAAAGCAAAGAATTTTGAGTTTTTAAGGCCATTTACTTACCTATATGTATGTCCTGTAATTTCATTTCTGACCATGACACAATCCACTAGCCATTTGGCTAATAGTCCTGAGTTATCATGACCAATTTGAACAGTGGTGAGCTTCCCCAAGTTCTGGCACTGTAGGGACAGAACCATAGGTTATTTAGGATTTGATTCCATCTCATTCTCTCTCACCTTTAACAGTGGCACTTTGGTTTTATCTAAAAATTGCAGAGACTTAACCCTGTTCAATGTGCTAAGCTACACACTAAACAAGAATATCCATAAAGTATTCCTTGCTCTCAGAGCCCTTGTACAATGAGATAGGAGACATAGACACTGACAATCAAATGAGGTGGACTGTACAAGGTGCTAGACTAAAAATGTAAACAAGCACTAAAAGAATTCTGAGGAAGAAACAGTTACTTCCATTTGTGCAATCCAGAAATATCATTGAGACAGTGATTTGAAGGATGAGAAAATTTTAAGAAATGGGAAAATGGTGCTATTTAAATTGACTTACAGAGAGCTTAGCAAATCAACTAGATTTTAAAAATCTCTGACACTGTTATTTTTCTTTACTTTGGGGGATGGGCCTCATTATTGCCTAATATGGCCTTAATTTACAATCTTCCTGCTTTGGCTTCCCAAGAAGCTGGGATTATAGGAGTGACCCACCTTGACTACTGATATGTCTTATATTTATTTATTTAGCACTGTGGATAAAATCCAGGGGTATTCTACCATTGAGTTACATTCCCAGCCCTTTTGATTATTTGAGACAGAATTTTTGATCCTTCTGCCTCCACTTCTTAACTCGGTGGGATTATAGGTATGTTATACCATACTTGGCTATTTTCCTCTTTTTTTTTTTTTTTTTGGCACATGGGATTGAACCTAAGGGTGCTTACCCATTGAGTCACATCCCCAGCCTTTTTTATTTTGAGACAGGGTCTTGCTAAGTTGCTTAGAGCCTCACTAAATTGCTGAGGCTGGCCTTGAACTTGTGATCTTCCTGTCTCAGCCTCCCGAACTGCTGGGATTACAGGTGTGAGCCACCATGCCCAGCAATTTTCCTATTTTTAATCAGAAGCTGAGGATATAGGTTATTGGTAGTGTACTAACCTAGCATGAGTAAGGCCTTGGTTTTGACTTCCAATACCACAAACAAAACATAAAAATCCAAGGCAGAACTGACCCTAAACCTCATCTACCAGAATTTTTTCAAGCTATTTATTAAAAAATAATAATAATAATAATAAGGCATACGGCAGCCCTCCCTTATTCTCAAGAGATACGTTCTAAAACTCTCAATGGGCATCTGAAACTGCCATAGTACCAAACCTTATATCTCTACTAAGTTTTTGCCTATATGCTCTGCAAAGTTGCCACAAAGTACCAGAGTTAATCTGTCCTTCAACGTTCCTGCCCTGGTGTCTTCTTTGTACCACTATTCTTATATCACTAGTATGAGAGTGGTGGGGGTATTATTAAGGGTTACATGAATGTAAGCAACTGTAATACCTCAATAGCTGATCTGATAACTTGAATGTCTACTAAGTGACTAATATGTGGGTGGCATGGATATACTGGACAATGGAATGATTTACATCCTAGGCAGGACAGCACAAGATTCCATCGTGCTACTCAGAATGGTGTACAATTTTCAACTTATTTATAGGGTAGGGGTGTAGTTCAGTGGTAGAACACTAGCCTAGCATATGTAATGCCCTTGATTTGAAACCTAGCACAGAAAAAACAAAAAACCTAACTAAAAAATACCCAAGCAAACAAAATTAGCTTATGAATTATTTATCTCTGGAATTTTCTGTTTAATATTTTTGGACTGATTGACTGCAGGTAACTGAAACAATAGAAAGTGAAACTATAAAAAAAAGTGGGGGGGGGGCGCGGAAACTACTGCAGTTATCAACATCCTTACTGACCCTTTGTGACAAGTATAAAATAAAGCAATGACAATAGCAATTGTAAACATAAAAGCTAATTAAGTTCTGACTTTTTTATTTTTTAGCACTACTGGGGATTGAACCCAGAAGCACTTTATCACTGGGCTACATCCTCAGCCTTCTTTAAAATTTTTTATTTTGAGACAGGTCTCACTAAGTTGCTAAGGCTGGCCCCCCAATTGTGATCCTTCTGTCTTAGCCTCCTGAGTTATTGGGATTATGCCACTGCACCTGGCATAAATTCAGACTTTAAATATCTGATAAGAAAAGCATCATAGACCCTACATGTGTCAGATAGAAACATCAGAATTATGAGTTTTAAAAGCATTTCTTTGTATCTCAGTGAGAAGGGGTCACAGTGAGTCAGCTGAGGGAGGATGGTACCTTGAATTACTCATGCAGCAGAGACGGAAAAGAGTGGATTGATACAGTGAGAGTGTTTGGAAATAGCAAGATAGGACTTACAATGTAGCTTATGTCCCATAATTGGTAGATGAAGAAAAGCCAAGGGTTTTAACCTTTTGTATACAAATGCCTGTGAGTCCACTACATATATAAGGCCAAAATGAGATCTTGGGTGAGTACTGCGATTCTGAGTGGATACTGCTATTCCTAGACCCCAAAGGACACGAGAACAGGACTTGCAGGTAGTACCACTTCTCTCTCTCTCTCTTTTTATTATTGGTTGTTCAAAACACTACAAAGCTCTTGACATATCATATTTCATACATTTGATTCAAGTGGATTATGAACTCCCATTTTTACCCCGTATACAGATTGCAGTATCACATCGGTTACACATCCACATTTTTACATATTGCCATACTAGTGACTGTTGTATTCTGCTACCTTTCCTATCCTCTACTATCTCCCCTCCCCTCCCCTCCCATCTACTCTCTCTACCCCATCTACTGTAATTCATTTCTCTCCCTTGTTTTGTTTTGTTTATTTTTTCCTTTCCCCTCACATCCTCTTATATGTAATTTTGTATAACAATGAGGGTCTCCTTCCATTTCCATGCAATTTCCCTTCTCTCTCCCTTTCCCTCCACCTCTCGTCCCTGTTTAATGTTAATCTTTTTCTCATGCTCTTCCTCTCTGCTCTGTTCTTAGTTGCTCTCCTTATATCAAAGAAGACATTAGGCATTTGTTTTTTAGGGATTGGCTAGCTTCACTTAGCATAATCTGCTCTAATGCCATCCATTTCCCTGCAAATGTCATGATTTTGTCATTTTTTATTGCTGAGTAATACTCCATTGTGTATAAATGCCACATTTTTTTAATCCATTCATCTATTGAAGGGCATCTAGGTTGGTTCCACAGTCTAGCTATTGTGAACTGTGCTGCTATGAACATAGCAGTATCCCTATAGTACGCTCTTTTAAGGTCTTCAGGGAATAGTCCGAGAAGGGCAATAGCTGGGTCAAATGGTGGTTCCATTCCCAGCTTTCCCAGGAATCACCATACTGCTTTCCAAATTGGCCGCACCAATTTGCAGTCCCACCAGCAATGTACAAGTGTACCCTTTTCCCCATAGTACCACTTCTCTCTTGAAATATGAACAGTTATCTATCTTCTTCCTACATGCTAAGTTCAACTTCCATGTTGGGAAATACTTCACTAGGTGAGATCTGAAAACTATTATGCAACAAGGCATTTTGATAAAATCGATCTATAAATGCCATTATGTGATTTAAAATCCATAAGCATGGATGTCAGCTCTCTGGTCCTTTTGCCAAAACATGGTTAAGTTGTGGCAGGGAGGACACCATTTATTCCAATGTTCTCTTCTTGCCACATTCTGTGTTAGGTACTAAGAATCATAAAATAGCAGAAAAAAAGAGCTTAACAATGAAAATAACAATAATGAAAATACAGAACAGATTAGTGTAAGATACTTTATTTTTTTTATTATTTTTTTTTGAGAGAGAGAGAGAGAGAGAGAGAGAGAGAGAGAGAGAGAGAATTTTTTTAATATTTATTTTTTAGTTTTCGGCGGACACAACATCTTTGTTTGTATGTGGTGCTGAGGATCGAACCCAGGCCGCACGCATGCCCAGGCGAGCGTGCTACCACTTGAGCCACATCCCCAGCCCCTATGTGTAAGATACTTTAGACAAGAATAAGCATATGATCACAAAAATGATCCAGTATGCTCACACATTCCTTTATTTTACAGATTCATAGAAAACTGATAAAAAGCAAACTAGAATCCTTCTGTAGAACTAAATATGACACTTTTTTTTGCTAAGAAAGGTATCTTGGACCCTACCTCAAAAGTCATCTCAAGGAGGTTTTTGGGAATCTGCATTATTCCTGTGTCTCCCAGCTCTCCTGATACACAGATCCAGGGGTTTGATGTGATGATTGCATTGCTCAGCTTTTTGATTGGGATGATCACTGACCTGTATGGAATCACTAAAATAAAAAAGGGAAAATTAATAAAGAATTACAATAAAGAAGCTCTTTTAACAAAACAAATATATAAGAACTGCTAATTTTCATAGATACTTTGCTTTTATGATCTTTTAATATGTACTTACACAAAAAGATGAGATCACAACTTCTAATCTAGAATGAAAAGATTCAGGTTATGAAGACCCTATACTTTTGCTGGTGGTTTCTATGATACATACATTGCCATGTACGAGTGGCTTATATGTCACCATGATAATATACACCATCATTAAATTTATAAACAATATCAAGTATTAAAAAGAGAATACCTGAGGACCTGAACACTATGCTATATAGTGTTTTCATTGCTTAATGTATTTAAAAATGAACTCTGTAATAAAATTGAGTACCAATGAACTTATTTACTAGTATGTTTTCATATGAAAGGAGGAGTAGATGACTTATAGATTAGTATTCCATTTTTTGCTGATTTTCTTGGAGAATGCTTAAAACACTGCACTTCAGAACTTTCCCCTTCCAAGTTTACTGTACAACACACAAAACTGATAATAAAAAACAATGGAGCCTCCACTTTGGGCACTGTGTAAAGTCTATAATTCACAACTTGGGAAGCTGTTAAAGGTGACTCCTATGCAAGAGAACCTTGGGGAAAGGTCAAGATGTGGAAAGAGATCTATGTGAAGCCTTTTCCCTCTAACAGTACATCCAAAAGCCCACCACTAGATGTCACCTTCCTATCATCGGCCTTACCCCAAAGGTGGAAGGCACAAGTTAGATATTAGAGGTGTCCTCCCTTCTTTTAAATAATGGGGATGGGTAACACATATTATATGTGTGTGTGTGTGTGTGTATGTACATAAATGTGTATGTGTATATATATATACACATTTATGTACATATATTTTTTTGTTGTTGGTATCCTTGGGATTTCTACTCATTTGGTTATAAGTGGGGTGGTCAGAAGCTGTCCTTGAAAGATCTACATATAGGATGAAAAACATTTAGTGGGCAAAGTGTCCAGACACAGCATCACAATAAACTCACAGTTCAGCAAACTCTTAAGGAAAATGAATGGGATGAATGGTTAATTTCCTTAATTCTACATAAATGACTTTCTTTATGTTTGTGAATAATTGCCCTTTCTGTCCTTTTATTTTGGTTGGAGAAAAGGAAAATGTCAGAGGAAAGGCCATACTTTCATGGTATAGTAATCATCAGAATCAAATCGGTTTTGAAACTGAAAGCAGAAGAGGTTAGTGTAAGACTTTATTTTAGGTGCCAGAAGTCTCTAATTTCTTGCAGTGATAGGATTAGAAAAGTTGCAAAAAAAAAAAAAAAAAAAAAGTCCCGTTTAGGGTCAGTAGTTCTGCACTGCAAAGGGCCCACAGATGCAAAACAGTGATTCACACTGTTAAGTATAAAAGAGCAATATTATTAACTAAGACTACTTCTTTCATAAAGTATCTCAATTCCTCAAATTCAAAGAATTATTCAGATGAAGAAAAAGTCCAGATATAAGGAAGCCCCTAAGAATCTTAAATGACCTTTCTTGTCTTTTAAAACTGTATATAACATTTCAGAATCGTATAATTGAAGTAACATAATAAATTAATAATAACACACATCCTGTCCCTTTCTCTTTGGTATTCTCTCCTTCCTTCCTACAGGTATGTGGACAGAGAAGCCATCTTCTGACCATGAGGTGATTAGCACACTCTGATAATGTCTAGGAGGAAATAGACATAGGTCTCGGTCTGTGACAGCACTGCAGATTGCCTACTACCAGACTACTTCTTACATAAGAAAAATAAATTACTGTTATTTAAATAACTTCTTTTCAAAGTTTCTGGTATTTGCAGCTGAACACAATTCTTAACTGATACAAGCAAAAATTCTCCAAAATAGGGAGGGGAACACACTGCAAGTAAGAATTAATAATGGTGGATAGAATAAATGCTGTGGTTCAGTTATCAAAAATACACTGAGGCTGGTGTGGTGGTTCATGCCTGTAATCCCAGCAGTTTGGGAGGCTGAGGCAGGATTATGAGTTCAAATCAAGCCTCAGGAATTTAGTGAGGCTCTAAGCAACTCAGGTAAGACTTTGTCTCTAAACAAATTATAAAATAAAGGTGTGTGTCCAACTATAACTAAAACAAAATATTAAAAAAAGGGTGGGGGGCTGGGGATGTGACTCAGTAGTTAAGCACCTCTGGGTTCAATTCCTGGTACAAAAAAAGAAAACAAAACAAAATGTTGAGGCTGAATGTGGTGTGCTGTATGTTTCTAATCTCAATTGCTTAGGATGCAGAGGCAGGAGAAACACAAGTTCAAGGCCAGCCTGGGCCACTTATTTGAGACCCTATTTCAAAATAAAATAAAAAGGGATAGGGATGTAGCTCAGTCACGGAGCATGTGAAGCTCTGGGTTCAATTCCTATTACTAGGGGGAAAAATGACAATCAGTATTTCCTCCCAACCTAGACCAACAATATCTAGCAAGATTCTGAGGTGTTTCTTGATCAACAAAATTAAATAATGTTGTCACATAAGTGTATTATTATTATACACTTATTCTTTGAATTTATGTATTTTGGATAAATATTGGAATATTTATTTAACAAAACATTCCTTTTTACACCCATTGTAGGTAACAATTATCATCAGATTGGATGTTTTGGAAAGATGAATAAGTCAGAAATTAGTACACATGATGTTGCTCCTGGGATCCACATATGAGGAGGAAAACAAGACTGGTTGAGGGAGATATTAAGTTGTGATGCAGTCTTCTTTTTTAATTAATTTTTTTTTTTTGTAGTTGTAGATAGAATGCCTTTATTTTATTTATTTTTATGTGCTGCTAAGGATGGAACCCAGGGCCTCACACATGCTAGGCAAGTGCTCTGCCACTGAGGTATAGCCCCAGCCCTGTGATGCAGCCTTTTTTTAAATTTTATTTTATTTATTTTAGTTGATGGACCTTTATGTTTTATTTATATGTGGTGCTGAGAATCGAACTCAGTGCCTCACACATTCAAGGCAAGCACTCTACCACTGAGCCACAACCCCAGCCCTGTGATGCAGTCTTAATGATGTCCTCAGCTGTCATCCACTGTGAGCTCTGAGATAGCCCTCTGATCACTCGTGGGATGCTGGCTGGCCCTGGCTGGAGGGTACATGCACAGGAAGGTAGTTTTCTTCAGCGAGGTACTACCATAGGCTGGCTGGCAACTGAGGACTATCCCCAGCAGCTAAGGTATATCCTGCATTCCTAAATGGAGATCTGGGGGGCCATCATAGTGTACCTCATTGTACTATGGTATATCTCATTATTATAGATATGAACACTTTTATTCCATTAGTTACCTAACAGAGTCTTTACTTAACAGTCAGTTCTCCAGACTTACTGATAGTGGTGAACACACTGGTGAAGCAGAAATAGTCCACAGCATTGAGGGAAAGAAGATGGTAAAGAAACTGCTCTCTTTCTTCTTCACAACGTAGAAAAGCATAGCGCTTATAAAGCTTCCTAAAAACGAATAAGACAAGCACAAAACAACAGTGTATTTTTTATACTTTTCATTATATTTAAAAATAAACACTTCACTAAACAAAGGGAAGAAAACAATGTTGAAAAAACAGAATTCACAAAAAATGGACATATTAACAGTTAATAAAAGGTTTTTAACTAGTAAAGGGGGAAAATACATGAAAAAAAATTTTTTTTTTGTATTGGAGACTGAACCCAGGGGTGTTTTACCACTGAGCTACATCCCCAGCTCCCCACCTTAAAAAAAAATTAAAATAACTTTATTTATTTTTATGTGAGGCTGAAGATTGATCCTAGCACCTCATATGTATGAGGTAAGGACTCTACCACTGAGCCACAATCCCAGCCCTCCAGCCCTTTTTAATTTTTTTTTGTGGTGCTGGGGATTGAACCTAGGGTCTTGTGCATGTGAGGCAAGCACTCTACCAATGGAACTCTATCCCCAGCCCTCCCTTTTTAATTTTTTGTTTTAAGAAAAGACCTTGCTAAGTTGCTGCGGCTAGCCTTGCAGTTGCCTTCCTGTTACCCCAGTCTACCATGTTGCTGGGATAACCGGTATGTGACACCCTGCCTGCCTTTGCCATGAATTAAGTTTTTCATTAAACTAATAGAAGTTGGACATGGTGGTGCATACCTGTAATCCCAGTGACTTGGGAGGCTGAGGTAGAAGGATTACAAGTTCAAGGCCAGCCTGTCCAACTTAGTGAGACCCTGTCTCAAAAAAATGTAAAGGGCTAGGGATGCAGCTCAGTGTAAAGCAACCCTGGGTTCAATCCCCAGTACTGTAAACAAAATAAAACAAAAAATGAAACAATAGGGCTGGGGACATAGCTCAGTTGGTAGAGTGCTTACCTTTCATGCACAAGGCCCTGGGTTCAATCCCCAGCACCACAAAAAAAAAAAAAAAAAAAAAAAAAAAAAGAAACAATAAAGATTTAAAAATTATAACTGGCACCAAGGAGGAGCTAATGTTATCCTTATAGTTGGTGGGATTGCAAATTTCAGGAAAGCAATTTGTTGGTAAGTTCCTGTCAACTAGTCATAACCGTTAACTCATAAATTTTACTTTTAGGGATCAGTCCTAAGTATACAATATGAAATGTGGGCGAAGGTTTACTTACAGCTGGGCATGGTGGCGCATGCCTATATTGCCAGTGGTTTGGGAGGCTGAGGCAGGGGATTGAGAGTTCAAAGCCAGCTTCAGCAACTTAGTGAGGCCCTAAACAATTTAGCAAGACCCTGCCTCTAAATAAAATATTAAAATAAGGGCTAAGGGATGTGGCTCAGTGGATAAGGTGCCCTTGGGTTTAATCTCTAGTACCAAAAGAAAAAAATTTTTAAAAAGATTTACTTACAAATGTCCACTAAAATGTTATTTGTGAAGTAAAAACCTTTTAGGCTGGGGCTGTAGCTGGGGTGAAGTAAGATCCTGGGTTCAATTCCCAGCAGTGACAAAAAACAAAAAATAAATAAAAACTAAAATGTTTCACAATATATTCACATGCTGGAATACTGTTATGGCCATTTAAGATAAAAGTTTATGAAGGGTTTTAACAATGGCATAGTTGCTACTACAAAAAATATTACTCTTTTTATTTTTTTGGGATGGGGTAACTAGGGATTGAATTCAGGGGTACTCAACCACTAAGCCACAGCCCCAGCTGTTTTTTGTATTTTATTTAGAGACAGGGTCTCACTGAGTTGCTTAGTGCCTTGCTTTTGCTGAGGCTGGCTTTGAACTCGCAGTCTTCCTGCCTCAGCCACCCGAGCTGCTGGGATTATAGGTGTGAGCCACACGCCTGGCTTAATATATTTAATTCTTTTTTTTAAAAAAAAAAATCTTTGTTTTATTTAATTATTTATTTTTTCATGTGGTGCTGAGGATCAAACCTAGTACCTCACACATGCGAGGCAAGCACTCAACCACTGAACTACAACCCCAGCCTCATATATTTAATTCTTATGACAATCCTATGAGATAAGTCTATTAGCAATCTCATTTTTTATAAATGGAAGAACAGAGGCATAGAGAAGTTAATTATCTTGTCCAAAGCTATTCAAAAAGTAAGGAGTAAAGGCAGTATTCAGACTTCAGAGTTTAAACTTTTATATATTGTGAAACCATGTTAGGCTAAAAAAGGATGGCACTGAATTGCAAATACACTATAATTTTAACTAAGAAGGTATGAATAGATGACAGTATAGATGAAAGTACAGAAATATTTAATATTGTTCTTTATGCAATAGGATTATAAACTATCATGTTCTTCTTCTTTGTACTTTTTTTTTGTTTTTGGTAATGGTGATTGAACTCAGGGGTACTTTATCACTGAACTGCATCTCCAGTCTTTTTTATTTTGAGAAAGGGTCTTGCTAAATTTCTGAGAGTCTTGCTAAATTGCTGAGGTTGGCTTGGAACTTGTGATCTTCCTGCCTCAGCCTCCCGAGTTGCTGGGGTTAAAGTTGTATGCCACTATGCCTGGCTCTTTGTACTTTAGCCACAATGGGCATAAATGACTTTAATGATTGGGGGAAAAAATGTTAAAAGACAAGGTCTGGTTCACAGTTAATAAATTACATTTTATTATCAAAACGACTCTCTGGACATTAAGACTCATCCTAAAATGATCATGGGGTAATTAATCCAAGGGTGATACATATAAAAGTAGAACTGCAAAAAGCACTGGGTTACTATGATGGGATTACAATAAACTGTCATATTTAGGTCTTGGTTAGATTCTTTACATATATATGCTCTTAAAAACTCAAAAGTCCTTAGCCTTCAAAAAAGCTCTAATGTATACATTCAGACATGTATTCAGGATTTCTTGATAAAGGAAACTACCAAACCAATTAACAATTAATTGTCAGGCTATTAAATGGTTTCCTGGCTTTAGATTATTGAGCATAATGTTGACAAGACTGTCATAAACCCTTTACTGTGAACCCTTCTCCCATCCTTTTTATGCTACTCTAGGTTTCGAAGTTGCTGTCAAACTGTACAGATGAATTATTTTTTTTTTCTGATTAGAACATAGCAATCTGGCCCTTGGCTATAAAATATGATGAGCCCTCCCAGCAATAATCAAATATTATGTTAAGATAGTTTCTTTTTTCTTTTTTGAAAGAGAGAGAGAGAGAAAAGGGGGGGAGGAGGGGGGGGAAGAGAGAGAGAGAGAGAGAGAATTTTTTTAATATTTATTTTTTAGTTATCGGCGGACACAACATCTTTGTTTTGTATGTAGTGCTGAGGATAGAACCCGGGCCGCACGCATGCCAGGTGAGTGCGCTACGGCTTGAGCCACATCCCCAGCCCCCTAAGATAGTTTCTTATTCTGAAGTACACTCCTGTTACACAATAAGAATTCATGTGCAAACAAATCAGCAATTCATGCTAAAGATGCCAGTTTGTCAGCTTTGCCAGCATACAAAACAGAAAGGTCTCAAAAGGCAATATCTTACTTGGTAAGTGGTTGGTTAGAGAGCAACTGCTTGAGATGCTGGGACAAAAGCTTCTTCTCTAGAGATAATCTTATCCATGCCCGAGCTCGTCCAACATCAGTTTTGATCTCACTCATGTTTTGAATATGCCTAAAAAAACAGTAGTAACAGTAAAGACACAGATCCTAAGGAAAACTTGAGCTAAAAAAGAACTAAAAAAGAATTAACAGTTCTGGGCACCAAAAAGCTGTTTCATACTTAGAGGAAGCAATGGGTAATACATAATTTGAAGGCCCATTAAACCTTAAAAAGTTCCATCTGAATCATGAATTTAGTCCCACATCAGAAATGTCATTATAATACAAACACACAAGCAACAACATCTTAAGATAAAGCATTTAACAGTCATCTATTCTTTCAGACTTATTATGTCCCTGTTTCATCCTCCGAGTTACCCATAAACAGGCACTTGATGATTCCCAATGCTAAAGAAAAGTAATAAAACAATATGAACAGTTAAGTTCTTATTCAAAATAATTTTTCTATAGTTTAAAAATGAGCCACAACTTTAATCAACTTAACTATTTTTTCTTATTCTTTTCCCTTATTTTTGTTTTGTACTAATAGAGATTAAACCCAGGAGTACTCCATCACTGAACTACAGTGATTTTTTAAATTTTGTATTTTTTAAATTTTAGTATTTTTTAAATTTTGAGGCAGCTGAACCCTATACTGCCCAGGTTGGCCTCTGATTTATGATCTGCCTGCCTCCTGAGCATATGGAATTACAGGTATGTGCCACTAAACCTGGTAACTACTCATCTATTTTTCAAGTTGCCCCAGACAATATATGGAAAATATAAAAATTTTACTTTTATGGCATCAGAAGTCACATTATACTGTGTTGATAATCTTAAAAGCTAGAAAGATTTAGGTAATTATGTGGCTACACAAAAAAAATTGTGTGGTCAAACAACAATTAAAAGTTACATCTTTTAACTGGGTGCAGTGGCCCATGCCTGTAATCCCAGTGACCTGGGAGGCTGCGGCAGGAGGATTATAAATTCAAGGCCAGCCTCAGTCACTTGGCAAGGCCCTAAGCAACTTAGGGAGACCTGTCTCAAAATCAAAAAAATTTAAAAAGAACTGGGGATGTGGCTAAGTGGTTAAGTGTTCCTGGGTTTGATTCCCCAGAACCAAAAAATAAAATAAAATAGAATAAAAGTTATGTCTATGTATAAATTAGTATTCCATGTAAATGTCAGTGCTATATTTAGCCAAACTGAATTTATCTTCCTAAATAATTTTTTTCCTAAAGGGGAAAGGAGGATCAGACAAGAAGGATAAGCCTTAGAGAGAGGGTAAATTATAAAAACCACCACAGGGAGGTGAGTCATGAAAAAGCCTTTGTTACTATATAATGCATCATTTCTCATTTGATTTTTTTTTTTTTTAAATATCCAGAATGACTCATTCTGGCTGTAATAAATACTGCAACAAAACCTATTCTCTGCTGATTCTAAGCATTCAGAATAAGGAAAAAATCCTCTCTGTAACACACACATGTTCTTGCTTTTTTCTTCACTTTCTCCCTTTTTCTTCTCCTCACCCTGAATGTGAAGAAGTAGCACTTTAATCTTCAGTGCTGATGTATGAGCCAACACTCTTGATCAATAAGATGCAAAGCACTGTTATCATATTACATAGACAGATACACTAAAGAAATGACTTAAAAAACAAGTCAGAATCAGGAGGTAAAGTTGTGGCTGGGTGTGGTGTAATCCCAGTAACTCAGGAGACTGAGGTAGGAGGATGGCAAGTACGAGGCCAGCCTTGGCAACTTAGCAAGACTCTGTCTCAAAGTAAAATAAAAAAGGCTGGGGGTGTAGTTTGGTGGTATAACACTCATCAGTTCAATTCCTAGTATCCCCCCGCCTCCCCCGAAGATGTGTTATAATTTTTGTGGGATTTAACCAAAACCATCTTACATCTAAGAATTTTTTCAGATTTTATAATACTTATTTTATTTTTTTTAGAGAGAGAGAGAGAGAGAGAGAGAGAGAATTTTTAGTATTTATTTTTTAGTTATTGGCGGACACAACATCTTTGTTTGTATGTGGTGCTGAGGATCGAACCCGGGCCGCACGCATGCCAGGCTAGCGCGCTACCGCTTGAGCCACATCCCCAGCCCTTATAATACTTATTTTAAAGGAATTAATGCTATTAAACATGGTCATTAACAGAGAAATCTGGTGTCAAGTAACATCCTCTTGGACCCTGGTTCTTACTGGTCTGGTGTCAGTAGCTAGGCACCTGACAACCCAATTGGGTACCTTCCATATGAGTCTCTGAAAGAGCAGTGGCTATTCCTCAGCCCAAGGACATTCCCCAATTGATAACAAAGGTGACTAAAAGCAATAAAGTCTTAAACTTTAAACTACTATTTTTTTCTACTGCATTTTCTTTAAATTTAATTAGTATGCTTCTTTAAAAATGACCCTATCATTCTTGTGGCATTTCCTTATTTGTGGCACCACAAGATGCCTCGGACTTTTCCTGTTTTTTTTTTTTTTCTTTTCTCAGTATTGGAATCCTGGAATCATCCATTCCCTAGGAAGCCCTGGTTCCTCCCATTAGAGAACTATTTATTTATTTTTGCAGTACTCGGGGTTAAATGCACTGACCTATATTCCCTTTTTTATTCTGTATTTTGAGATGGTTCTGTGTTGCCCAGGTTAGACTTGAACTTGTGATCCTCCTGCCTCAGCCTCCTGAATAGCTGGGACTGCAGTGTGCATTACTGCGTGCAGCTACAGAATTATATTTAGAAATTAATATATGAGAGGCCAGTGTGCTCACTGTTACTGAGGTACTACTCTTCCAGTTCTTGTCCATGCAAAAAGCTTAGAAATATATCAGTCACTTCCTGGGGGAGGATCTGGAAGAGAGGTTAACTAAGAAGCAGCACAGGGAATTTGGTGGGTGAACAAAACTGTTCTTTATCATGACTGGGTATTTGTGAAGTCCCACAGAACTACATACTAACAAAGAGTGAACTTCATTGTACATAAATTTGGGAAAAACAAAACAAATTCACCAACCAAAATGTGGAGGTAACCCAAAATGGAATACAAAGTAACAAAAAGAACAGGACTGTATTATTATTATAAATAAATAGTATAACCATAGTGAAGTGAATGGAGAGAATAAAAGGAACTAATCTAAGCTTTAGAAAACAATATTTTGATTGGATACTGAAAGGCCAAAGACAAAGCTAGAGTTAGACATGAACAGTGTGCTAATTTAGTTAATAAGCTTTTTTTCTCATATGGTTTAGCAATTAAAAAATTACCTAGTATATATACAAAACATATAAGAGTTATACAAATAAGTAAATATATTCTAGATAATGGAAGCCAGGTTTCTAGTGGTTATAGAAAGAAGTTACAAATATGAATTATAATATGAGATATTATTAACCATTACGGAGCCCAAGGTCACTTTTTTTTTTTTTTTAAAGACAGAGTTGACCAGGCTGCTTCTCAACTTCTGTGCTCAAGTGATTCTTTTGCCTCAGCATTACAGGTCTACATCACCATGCTGGTTCAGGGCCCAAGGTCTTAACCAGTGTGCAACACTGCTCATCAAGTGAACACAGTGAAATCCAAGCAGCACCTCCTCTCCCTGACAAAATAAATAAAAATAAAATAGAAGAAAGTAAAACAGCAGGAACTAGAAGGAGCTTATAAGTAGCCTTACATGATGTGTCTGTCCCCCACTGGAAATTGAATCAAGAATTGCTTTCCACTGAGTTATATCTCTAGCTTGCTTGCTTTGATTGATCTATCTATCTATATCTATCTATCTATCTATCTATCTATCTATCTATCTATCTATCTATCTATCGTACTGGGTATTGAACCCAGTTTGTACTGGGGCACTCTACCACCAAGTAATATCCACAGCCCCCCCCCCCTTTTTTTAATCTTTGAATTTTTTTTTCAGTTGTAGATGGACACAATACCTTTATTTTATTTGTTTATTTATATGTGGTGCTGAGGATCGAACCCATGGCCTCATGTGTGCAAGGCAAGTGCTCTACCACTGAGCCACAACCCCAGTCCCTTAAAATATTTTTTTAATAACTTTATTTTATTTATTTATTTTTTATGTGGTACTGAGGATTGAACCCAGTGCCTCACCCAAGCTAGGCAAGTGCTCTACCACTAAGCTAGCTACAGCAACAATGCCCCCAGCCCTTTTTATTTGGAGACAGGGTCCCACAAAATTGCCCAAACTGCTGTTAAACTTGTGATTCTCCTGCCTCAGGCTCCAATGCACAACCATACCAGGCAACTACTTGATGTGTGTGTGTGTGTGTGTGTGTGTGTGTGGTGCTGGGGATTGAAACCAGGGCCTTGTGCATGTGAGGCTAGCACTCTACCAACTGAGCTATATCCCCAGTCCCCACTTTTTAATGAGGTTTCAGAAATTTGGCTTGAGTTCATAGTGGCAAAGCTTTAAACCACCACCTCCTTAAGTTGATGGCTACTGTGAAGCCATTGTAAAACACAGGTAGTTGTATATTTTTGTTAAGAGAGCTGAACCCATTTCTTCTCAAAAAAAATCATAAGCCACATAAGGACAACTACATTTCATCTACCAAAGAGTAATAAAACTTAAGACATAAATATATAAATTGATTCAGATGGCAACTAACATTTTGTGATTCTTAGTATGGGCTATGTACTTAAGTTCTTTACGTAAACTAACTCATTTACTTCTCATTTAATCACTTCCTGGCCTTTGGCTAAGATCAAGTATAATTCTCATAATACTCCCAACAATATGCTGTCTGCAAGAGACTCACCTCACAGGCAAAGGCATCCATAGACTAAATTGAAAGGATGAGAAAAAATATACCCCATTCAAATGGGACTTGTAAAGAAGTAGGGGTTGCTATTCTCATATCAGATAAAGCGGACTTCAAGCCAAGAGCAATCAGAAGAGACAAAGAAGGTAACTTCATATTGTTTAAGGGAATCATACATCAACAAGATATAATTATTATAAATATTTATGCCCCAAACAATGGAGCATCTACGTATATCGAACAAAACCTTCTCAATATTAAGAATCAAATATATCAC